GGAAGTCACTGAAGATGGTAGAGGACTGGCTTTATATGATTGTATCTGCCTGTCCTTATTAGCAATCTGGCTGCCCTATTCTGGACCAATTCAAGTTTCCAGTCTGTCTTCAAGGGAAGCCCCACATAAAGAGCATTGCAATGATCCAGTTGGGAGGTTATCAGTGCATGGATAACTGTTGCCAGGTCCTGACTGTCCAGATATGACTGCAGCTGATAGGAATGAATCAAGGAAACTGGAAATCACAGAGCAAGAAATGAAATGCTTAAGCATTAAAGTATTTGGTGTGAGTGAACTAAATTGACTGGAATGGGACATTTTCAGTCATACAAAAATGAAGTATTTTGCTCTAGAAATGTCGAACTCTGAAGAAACAGAGTAGCTCCAATACTGAGGCAAGATGGTGCTATAATGCAAACTCTAATAGAATAATATCAGTCAGAACTTTCAGAAAACCTATCAACACACAATTCAAATTTGTGTTCATAATTCAAGTTGATGAAGATGAATGCAAGTGTCCAGGAGGAAATCGCTAACACACCAAAACAAGACATGCTAATAGTCATAGGTAACTGGAACACAAAAGGAGGAAAGAAAGCAGAATCAAAGGTTGTGGAAAAATTTGGCCTAGGGGTCAGAAACATTTCATAGAATTCTATGAAGTCAACCATCTGTTTACTGTTAATACATACTTCAGGCAACCAGTCTGATAGCACTACATATGGACATTGGTAGACAGCCAATACAGAAATCAAATAGGCTATGTAATTGGAAGAAGGAGATGGCAAAACTATATTCACACTGCCAAAGGAACATATTGTGGTACTGACTATGAACTCCTGATAAGAAAAATCAGAGTAAAATTTGAAAAGTTCATTAATGGAAGCTAGGGTCAAAATACAACTTAAATAACATTTCTGAGGAATTTAAAGTCCACATAGAGAACAGGTTTGCATTACTGAACTTAACTGACTGTGAATCAGAAGAACTGTGGACTGAACCTAGAGACAATATTTTAAAAACTAGGAAAAGTCAAGGCAGAAAAAGAAGTTAACCAATTATACAATGGATCCATTCCATCAAGGAAGCCACAACCTTGACTTTGCAAGTGCTGAGCAGGGCTGTCAGGGACAGGACATTTGGAGGGTCGCTCATTCGTAGGGTCACCATAAGTTGGTGGAAGCATGAGCAACTACAACAAACAGGGTGGGGACTTTAGACAAACTGAAGGGGAGGTGTCCTCTACACTGATAAACTACTTTTGCTTTTTGCATCTTATCATTTATTCTAAATTGTTTCTGGTATTCTCAGCGGTAGGAAATCTTAAACTTTTAAGTGACTTAGTTTATTTATACATATATTTGTATCTGGGGACTGCAGGTGGTACAGTGGTTTAAACCTCTGTGCTGCTGAGCTGGTAGATCGAAAGGTTGCCGGTTTGAATCTGCACAACAGGGTGAGTTCCCGTTGCTCCGTCCCAGCTCCTGCCAACCTTGCAGTTCGAAAGCATGCAAATCCAAGTAGATAAAAAGGTGCCACTTCGGTGGGCAGGTAACAGCATTCTGTGCACTTTGGTGTTTAGTCATGCCGGCCACATGGCCACGGAGACTGTCTGTGGACAAACGCTGGCTCCCTCAGCTAGGAAACGGAGATGAGCACCGCCCCCTAGAGTCAGGCATGACTGGACTTTATGTCAAGGGAAAACCTTTACCTTTATTTGTATCTACCAAGGCCTTCCCAGGCTGCTTGCTTAGTTCAAAAATGATACTGAATTGTGAATTAATTAACCAATGATTTGCTGTGCATGACACTGTGTTGATCATATTCTTCCTTCTACTTTCTGTAAATAACACCTGATTGGGTGTTGGGAATATAATGTGTAAACCTGGAGCACTGACAGTGAACCCATAGTTTGTTGTGAACAACCCATAGTTGAGTTGTTCAGGTCTAACACAACCCAGTGATCTGCGTCCACATGCTATGCTCACAATCAGAAAGCAAAAGTGAGGACTACATCAGAGGCAGTACCCTTGCTCACTTCCACTTGTGCATGGCAGATCATGGGTTAATAAACCATCACTTGCAAACCTGTTAATTCTAGGACATAAGCATCTGATATCTGTAAGTGGAGCATCAGGATCAGAGATAAAAGATGAATGAAGGTCTTGGCAAGATGCAATAGGGACAGAGGCAAAGTACAAGCAAGGTTCAGCTATCAGTAATGTGTGACTGTGCTAGAGGCAAAGGTTAAGTTAAGAGTAAACAGGTCAGATGCCAGTAAGGAAGGCCAGGATCAGAGATAGCAGTAGTAAGGTCAGGGATAGGCAAGGATCGGATGCCTGGTAGGGCCAGAAGCAAAGGTAAAGTCATGAGTCAGGACATAGATGGAATTGCAGAACCAGAGGGAGTAACGTAATGAGGAGTGCAAAGGAACTACCATGATGACTCATGTTGCTGTGGCAAAACTAGGTGGGGCTGAGCAGCCGTTTATAGCAGCTTTTGTGGTTTCCTGCTAGTTCCTATGAGTGCAGGCCCTACTCCCTGCAAGCACCAGCAGGCCTGATACTAGCCTCACAAGTTCCTGCAAGGGTACCAGGCTGCCTTCTTTAACAAGCCACCAGAGGGAACAGTGCTTCATTGTGCTGATCCTGATAAAACCATTTTCTGGTCAAGGCAAATTTGGCAGTCATGGAAAGAAAATATATTTGAAATACAGTCTGCTTCAGTGTTGTAGGATAAGAGCTGCAGTCAACAGTCTTCTTGTTTTAAACAAGTCCTTCCAAATAGATGACCATTCATCTGTGGCAGTGAACCATATAGCCTCCCTCAGGTACTGCTTCCCTTACAGAGTTTTCACATTTTCCCAGTGATTTTCTCCCAGTGGATGGTAGTATGAGTGCTACATGAAATGCAGTTTACATGTGTTTACAAACTTCAGTTCTCTTTATCTACTCAATCACAGGAGCATTCAAATAACTTTCAATTAAAAACAACAGTGACAATCAAAAATGTTTGCAATTTATTGAGACATACAGGAAATACATGTGTCATGTGGGCAGCCCCCAGAGAGACTACCAAGATAGTCTGTACAAGATGCCTTTATAACCTATCAGATACACAGTTTGGGGAAGGGATGGGGATCAGGTACAAAGCATGCTAGAGGCATGTTAGAATAAAACAATAGGGATGAACACTATATAAAGTAAACTATAAATGGTTTATATTATAAACCATTAGCATCTTTAAGACTGTACCTCCAAAGGACAGGCAAGCATTAGCATCTCTAAGATGTATATCTGGAGCAAGACTTGTAACATGGATTCCTGGTGAGATAAGAAATCTCAAGTGCACAGCTTTTCTTACAGTGTCAGGCTTTTAGCAACCATATTATGGCAGAACTTTTGCACATAGTGTGGGCAACAGTAATCACACTAAGAAATGGTTGTCATGTGAAAGCTTACTTTTCTGTTCATAACAATGCCCTGTCATTTTAAACCTTTTGTTTTTGATTTTTTAAAGGGTTGCTGACCCATTTTAGTATGGAAATGTTCGTCCCCTCACGCATGCACCTCACACCTACTGATAGATACATACACAAACATAATACAGAAGTGATTAAAATGATGAATTATATTCTATTCCTTCCCTGCAACAAAGCTGTTTCATCCTCCACTAGTGGGGAAGTGTTTCAGTGCTAACACTGGACACATGCTAGTGCAACTGTATAGTATTAAGAGAGCAGGAAGAATTTTTCCATGTCTGGAAATGTGCTGAAAATTGTTAGATTTTTTAAAAAAAAAGTTTGTAAACTACAGTATCCTCTTGGAGATTATTTATCAGCCTGTCCAATCTGAAAGTGCTTTTTTACATTTGAAAAGATTAAAGAGCTACCACTGGGTTGGAAAGAGACAATAGTCAGATTCATTTGTTGTTTTTTCCCCATAGTTTTTACAGATAGGATAATCCTTTACAAATGGCACAGAAAAATACCATGTTCTAAAGGAAGCTCTACTGGTTTTAAAAAAATCAAATCAAATGAGATCTGATAGTAGCAGAATCAGCTTGAATCCTGCCAAAACTGGAGTGGGGGAAGGTGATGGAAAGTACAACATGGATAGGTAGGAAAAGGAAAATGACCCCTCCCTCCCTCTCTCCCTCCACGTTTCATTCTGAAACCATTGTGCCCATATATGGATTTCTCCTGGTGTGGTTAGCCTCTGTTGGGAAAAACAGTTTGGATGGAGCAGTTAAAGGGTGAAAAGTCTAGATAGAATAGAGATTCAACTTTTCTTTTGTTCATGCCAGAATTTTACACATTTGCCAGAATATGGATTCTGTGACACGTGTCTGCCATAATCATGACCACATTATCCTAAGAAAACAAGCTGGAATCACATGATTGATGATGGGAATAATCATGTAGGATTTGTTTTAGAAATGTGATTCTTTTTCATTATGTGCATTAATGCAGGATCTAGGATCTTCTGAGTACATAGAGGACTATATACCTTAAGAAAGCTATAATAACCCATAAGCCTGACTGTTGAAATCTGATAGTTTTGTGGCTGTAACAAATTACAATTTATGCAGCAAGTGTACATTCAGGATAATGATTCTAAAATATGCATAGAGCCCATGATGAATACTGCAAAGCAGACTGCATGAGTTCTATAGGATTGATAAATTTCTTTTTATATTTTCTTATTGCATATTTCTAAATTAGAGTACTTGTTAAAAAAAAAAAGAACAAATGGTACCATATAAAATTAATGAACATTTGTCTACTATTCAGAATTTAAATATTCTTTTAAATGCAAGGGGGAATAATAATACAAACAGAATGCCTATTATCATGATTTTAGTTGTGGTTAATAATTTTCATTAGAAAATTATGATTGGTATACAGCATACACTACATGAAACTTAAGGAGAAGTACATTTTGATGACAGAATGGAAAATACATTTCTCTGCTCTAATTAACAATGCTTGTCTTTCTCAGATTCAACAATGCTACATACAGAGCAAGATTTAAATGAACTTCTCATCTGTAAAGAACAAGAACTGAAAGAGCTACAAGCTCGTCAGACCCATTTTCATAGAGCAACACTGCAAGAAACCCAAAGGCAACTTCAAGAAATGAATAGAAAATTTAATGTTTTGAAGGAAGATTTCACCTATAACCTTAAATTACTACAGGAGAGAGATAAAGAGCTGGAGCATTATGATACCTTATTTACCCAGTTGAAAATGGTTGAAAATGTTAAACAGGCAGAGGTTAGTGATCTTAAAATAAAGATAGATAAGCTGGAACAGGCACTTGCTCAGGAAACAAAAAAACAAGAGGCTCTGCAATACCAGTATCAACAAAAGCTTAAAGAACACCAGTTAGAGCTGGAGCACCTTCACAGGTAAGATAGATGTGATAGAAATTCAGCCTTCTGAATCCAGGTCTTTAGGTCTATCGAAGTACCATTAAGGAACAGTTAACTTTTGTTTGCATTTATGTACTGATTATAGCACAGTGCTTCCTTGTAGTAGATGTTTGTGGAAACTTATTTATTATTATTAAATTGTTCTACTAGTAGAAACATCCTGGAACTTCCCCCCATGATACAATAAGAGTAATGCAATCAGTTAATAAAACATCCCTTCAATGAATCACCTGATTAAGATATATACACTTTCATACTCATTTGTATATATATTTTATGCATCTTTTCCAAAATCTAAAGTTACCAACAAACAATTTCTTGTCTTTATATATTCATATTTTTAATACATAGGGGCACTATCCTTTAGACATAAATAATTAAGGATGTTGTCTGGATGTTGACTAACATTTGGAGGTCTAACTCCAACTTTGGAGAAACACGTCAAAGTCAGAGCTGGAGCTCCCAATTCAGAAAGTCCTCCCTCGATGTTTGCAGATGGCACAATTGTTTCTGTGCAAGCTATAGCTCCAAAGCGGTAAGTGCAACTTTGGAGCTGGTGCTGGAGGGTAAGAAGGGCAGCAGTGAGGCTCTGCTGGGATTCAAGGAATCTTCATAGTTATTCAGCCTCTCCTCCTGAAAAGGACAGGTATAATTTTCCCATTGAAGCATATCCATTATATAAACATTTATTTTTATATATAAATCATGAGCATGGGCAGTTTTATGGCCCCAACTGACTATTTCTGAATTTTTAGATCTGAGGGTAGAAAAAACGGAATCCAGCTCAGATTTCCCTCCTGCATTGCAGTCTACACAACATCTATATAGGCAGTATCTGTGTAAACGTAACAGTGACCTCAGAGCAGCAGAAGGTGGGCATCCCAGGGGGCAGCAAGGGGAGGTAATTCGGTCCATCAGGATACAACATAACTTAGAAACACTCCAGCCTCCTTTCCACCCTTTTTGAAACACCTCAGCTAGATGATTAGATTGGCTGTCTAGCTGTCTTGCAGGGTAGGAGGAGTGCTGTAGTAACAATTACCCCAGTTTCCCCCTCTGCCCTAGATAGGCTTACGGGTATCTGCACTGAATTTTGCCCTTAATGTATCTGTCAAGTTTATTGCAAGATAGCTTACTGATTTATTGTTCCAAATATATTAATTATTCCTTACCTGATTTTATGTTATTAATTACATTTACTCCTATAATTTATTTTCCTTTTGTTTATCTACTGTAGTATTCCATATTCTCTTTTTAATTGCCCAATTTCATATGACATTTGCTTAGGTTCTGTAATTGTTAAAATGATAGCATATGCATAAAATTTTATTTTTGCTGTATTTTTTTTATTTTTTAATTCTGTGATACATTGCATTTTCTCTTATTTTAATTTTTTAAAGGTCCACAGCTGATAGAAAAAGTAAGACACATAATGAGCAACTCTTCTTATCATTTTTGTTAGTTCAAATACTTGTGAGAGGCACTGCGGCCTAGTAGTTAGAGTGCTGGACAAGGGATCTGGAATATCCAGATTCTAGTCTGTACTCAAACAGTGAAACTCACTGGGTGACTTTGGGACAATCACTCTCAGTCTAGCCTCCATCACAAGATAAAATGTTAGGGTGAGGAATAAATGGTGTAGCTTTACAAGTTTATAAGAACTACCATATAAGTTTATAAGCTATTTACACATTTTTTGCAAGAGCAAAAAGGCAGAATACAAATGCAGTTTGATGATGACGATGATGATGATGACGATATCACAGTTCTATCTTCTCTTATTTTAGGTTTTAAATGGCTAGCTTGTATCCATTTATTAAACATTGGTCCAAAATTAAGGAGATTCAGAACTTCAAATAAAAATGTCCATTCAATATTGTCAAATGCTTTTTCTGTGCCTAAAAGCAACAATAAAGATTCTAATCTTAGTCTAGAAGCAAAATCTCTGGCATGTAGAATTTTCTTCACATAAATCTTTGTTCTTCTTGTTCAAAGAAACCCTGTTTGATTTTAATGTATATGTTTGTATAGTACTTGTATTGTAATGCTTTGTTAATATACTAGTAATTATTATATAAGTACTATGAGAGATTACTGTCATGGAATATTTACCTTCTGGATAAATTGCAACTTGAATATGCCATTTTCTGTTAATGGGAAAACAGTTGATTTTTAAGAAAATATACTCCCCTGAATATGAATGGTTCTGGTCTGATTAAAAATAGTGCATGACAAAAGTACACACTCTTTTCCATCAAACCGGTTCCCCCCCCCCCTTTTTTTTGCAAAAGCAGACGATCTTGGATGATTGTTTACTTTCCAGTGGAAAAGAAATACTGGGAATGATTACCATTGCAAAATAAGGAAGTGACGTGAGATTCCACCAGTCTACACCACTCTTACCATATCATCTGTCATATACATTAAAGTCATGTTTAGGTGTTCAGAAATTTTAAAAAAATAGAGGAGAAAAGGGGGAACCTGTGCTGATAAGGAAGGACTGGAGAGAGGCTATATGTGAATTCAGCTTGCTATCGTGATCTGTGTAATTGCAAATCTTGACTAAACAGGGTTCCTGATCATGTGGAGTGGATGGGTAGAGCATTTGTCTCTTGTTTCCCCTCCACATTTCCTCTCCATGTTTCGTATTTCCAAATGCCTGAATAGGGCTTATGTTTGTCCTCATTTGGCTGTCTTTGTGAATGGAACATTCCATTTTTACTACGTGTAGCTTGGCTCTGCATAGAAAAGTGATTGACAGGTAAATAGGCTACCCTTTCTCTTTCATAGCTGTTTGTCCTCCTGTTTATAAACATTTCCCCCCTCTCTACCTTTCTCTCTATATAGTGCTTGCCAAGTGATGATAACATTTCATGCATGCTACCTAATGGGCTTGAATCCACAGATGCTTATGCCACAGGCCTATTTGCAATTTTCACTTTAGCTAAGACTTAGAGGCTATTATTATTAAAGCCACTGGACTAAATGCCTGCGCTTTGCATTTTCCTAGTAGAGTTGTACATTGGCATTGGTTTTGTGTCTATATGCAGCTGCCATAAATCTTTTGTAATAAAGATTGGAGTCAGAGGATAGCACATGTCATTGTGTTGGATATTTCCTTGACTGCAAGAGTTTCATTTTGCAAGATATGAAATACCTTGTGAGTTCTTGTGCTGCTCTGTGTGTGTGTGACACATTTTCCTAAATAATACTTGCTTATTCTATTTAATTTTACTAAAAATGAGCAAATAATCTAGAGTTTGAAAGTACCTCCAAATTACAATTGTTTATTAAACTTTCATTTAATTAAGCCAGTAAGTTTTTGAAATAGGATAACATTTATTACAAGTTGCATGTCTCAAGTCATATATATTTTTAGATGAAATGATTGTGATGTCATTAGATTTTTGTTTTAAGTAATTTGGGTTGCAATTTTGTACACAATCCTATTAGGTCAGGTTGACTGTAAAGACCTGTTGAGCTCAATCATAGTTACCTTTGAGTAGAAATGTACAGGATTGTACACTGAAAGTGAGTTCAGCTGGGCTTGCTCCCATGTAAATATATCTGGGATTGCACCCTAAATTAACAAGTTTTTAACATTTTTATGCATTACTGTCAGTTTACATTTCATTTTTTAAATCCTTATTTTTTGGTTTCATAGTTCTAAGGACTCTGATATCAGTCACCATTGTGAGAAATATGAAAATATGAAACATCAGCTGGAGAGAAAACTCACGGAAATAGAAAGTGAACTTGCTTTGCAAAGACAGGTACAGAATGCCTGATAAACCTGTCATATAGGGAATATTTTACATTTTTCTTTCTTACAGACAAAAATTGAGTACAATGCAATTCAGTCTTCTAAGTGGGGAGTGGGCAACACGTGGATCGCATGTGGTCCTGTACAACTGAATTTGGTGGTGAGAGATGTTCATGGGAATAAAAGTACCCTCTGGGACTGTGAAATTGTCCACCTCTGCTGCAATTATTTACTCTATTCCTAACATCAGTCAAGTTTATAGGGCTTTTTCCTGGTTAAAATTAATGTATAATTAGTAGTGGGCAGAGCTGAAATTGCATTGCTGTTTCACATGGTAGGTAATACTTATGTTTTTGCTCTCCTTGGCAAGTCTTCCCTTGGGAAAAATTGGTGGGATTGTGTCTTGTAAAATGAGAAGGTGTGAGATTCTTTTTACATGGTACAGCCAATGTGCTGTGCTAAATCCTCCAACCTTGAAATTTCAGGAAGGTCAGTGCTATAAATCAAGAGCAGTTGTAAAGGCTAAATAAACACTCTGGTCTCAGCCAGCAGGGTTCTCTTCCTTTGGTTTCCTGAATAGCATTAAAAGGCCTGACAAGTGATTTAAAACATACTGGGCAAGATACATATGCAGCCTCTGCCCTTTCTGATTCACTTCTATCCTGCCAATACTGTTGTGCAACTGGCCATGTCACGTGTGCAATTTTATGCATCTGGGGCAACAAAAAATGAGCAGAAATGTTTGTTTCTGGAAGGAGGCATGTCAACAGAGGTCACATAAAGGAGCTCGACTGACTAGCCTCCTTCCAGAAATGAGTATTTCCAGTTATTCCAGGCCACGATCATGCTGGTGGGCGGGGGGTAGATGGCTGAGATTGCGCTCATCTTTCCTGCAGGAGCACGCCTGTGATCACGCACGTCTTCCCTGCATGAATGCAAATGTGATCATGGCCATCTCCCCACTCGGGGTGGGGTGGGAGATGGCTGTGATCTTGGTCTCCTCCCAATGCGGAGTTCACGACCCACGTCAAAATTTTCATGAAATTTTTGTTTGCGACCGATTTGGTCATGAACCAAGGCATTCATGAGCTGAGGTACCACTGTATAGTAAAAGTAGCAATGGATTTTTGGGACATAGAAAAAATAACTATATTAGAACAGCTGTTAATTATGTGAGGGTAGAACATCTGACCCAAACAACTTATGGGCTTTAACAATATTTTCTTTTTATTATTATGATAAAACTTTGGAACCAAAACAACTGCAAAAAATGAATCTTAGCTCACAGCCGTCTCAATTAAAATATGTCCCACTAAAATTGTTGTAGCCCTAATTTGCACAAATGCTGTCTCTCATCGTATCTTTTAATATGTGGCAAAAAAAATGGCTCATTATACTTTGAAATTTCTTTTCTTACTATTTATGGAACCCAAATGTCCTGTTTACATTGGAGTATAAATATGAGATTACACTACTATATACAATTTCATATGCTCTGTTTCAGGAACTTCTAGTGGAATTTGATGCAGAAATGAAAAAGAGAGAGCATGAGTTTCGACAGAAAGCAGATGAAATGAGTAATATAGTTCTGTCTCATGAGCTTAAGGTAACTGTTTCCTCAAAATAAGTTAAAAGATCTGTTTCTTCTTCTTTGTTTATGATATTTTCTGATTTATATCCTGCCTTTTTCCTACAAAGGGCTCAAGGCAGCTTACATCTCCTCCTCCATCTTATCCCCACAACAAGGTAGGTTGGACTAAGAGTCTGTGACTCGCCCAAAGTCCCCCAGTTGGCTCCATGGCTGAGCGGGGACTAGAACCCAGATCATCTGAGTCCCAGTCCCATGCTCTTAACCATTACACCACACTGGCTCTCCATATATGAACAGTCTATTTCTACCTAAATCCATAATCAATGTAAATAATGACCATATTTTCTATGGAATGGTGTGCAGTGCCCTATTCATGGGGCAGACTCTTGAGAATATGTGTCTATCATTAAACAGAGAAAACCATTTCAAATGGGGTGTAGTAGACAAAGAAGACATTATTGTCACTTAACAAAATGATTGACTTGCATCTGAGTTGGGGAAGATGATTTTATTAACTGTTTATAAAGTATTTTGAAGATATACAACATGGCAGTTGTACTCAATTCCACAGCATTATCTTTATTTATAGTTTTATACCATTTAATATCCTAAAATTGGCTCAGACATCAGGGGGTTGGGTGGGAGTATACAGGAGAAGGTGGTCAGCTAGGAATCACAGTCAGGGCTTCAACAGCAAAATGTTGAACATGTCTCTATAGCTAGCAGGGACACAGAGTGCATGTTTCCCATCCCCTTTTCCATCACAAATTATATTATGAATGTTACAGTAACTACAATGCAATTCTAAGCTTGTGTGCTTAGAAATAAGCCCCATAGAGTTTAGTGGGTTTTATGTCCACTTAACTATGCTTATGATTGCAGTCTAATTTAACAAAATATAGAAGTCACATGCATGCACATACACAAATAGGTAGGGGAAAGAGATGCTGTTAAAACACTAAAGGGCTCATGGTTTGTTGTTTCTTTGACGTGTGAAACTAATGTCATGTGGTACCTTTTGTTAGCAGTATTTAGGCTTTCTCCATTACGTCGGTTGTAGAAGCAGCAATTTACATTGGTTTCTTTGCTTAATTTTAATATAAGAGAAAAAGAGAAACTGTCTAGTTCTCCTTTCCAAGGAAGCTGTTCTGCTAGTTCTGGTCTGCAGATGCATAAAGAGATGTGCTGTGCTGTGTTGCCCTGTCCCATATAGAGTCTAAAGATGGCTTGATCTTCAAGTTCTTCTTCATGGTCTTGTTGCATCACACATATGGGCACTGTGCCTGTGCAGTGCCTACGTTCAGGAAGATTCCTCTAGCTAAGCCTAGAAATTTTGGTGGGAGCCCCACCCCTCCTCCCCATTATATAAATAGGTGGACTCCTGCCATTTTCTCACTTTGCTTTCGACCGCCATTTGCAGTGACTCAGGATCTCTAGCTCTTCTCTTGAATGTTTTACGTCAGATCGTTTTCTTACTTCTACAGCCTTATTTTACAACCTTTGTTCCTTGCCTCCTTGATCTTCCAAAATTCCTTTCACCTTTCTCATTCACTTATCTGCCATTTTTCACACACCCCTCCCCACTTATCACCTCACAATTTTTTAAAAAATAAAGCCTTCTATCATCTCTCTCCTCTACATTCTTACTCTCTCGACCTGCCTCCTCTTCTTCTCGATGGCACTGAAATGGGCATTTTGTAAGTGCACAGAGTGTGAAATGAAAATACCATTGACTGACAGCCACTCCTTATGCCTGTTCTGCTTGGGGGAGGAACATCGTGTGAACAAGTGCCAAGTCTTCACCAAGCAGGCCTGGAAAAACAGGGCAGGTCACCTAAAAATGGAAATGTGGGACTGTGCTCTTATTGCTATAAAGGATGTTGCCAGCCATGTGAATGATGGCCCTTCAACTTTGAGAAAGGCTGCAAAAAAGTGACCATTGACTGGGCATGCTGAAGCCAACCTCACCGGCAATCAGCCACCTTCAATGTGCCTAAGAAGCACAAAGGCAGATGAAAGCATCTCAAGACCAAGGGCTGTAAAGAGGCTGAAAAGGCCCTGAAGCCTAAACTTGCAGAAAGAGTAGGACACCTCTGTCCCTCTTGTTCTGTCCAGCCACCTCATCTGCACCAGGCACACTACCAGCCTGATCCTCTCCATCCTGTTGCCCTCCTACTCCAGCTCAATTGAACTGCATCAGGGTCCAACCTGAACCGACGGGACCAACATCTTTTTCTGAAGGAGAGATACGATACTCACCAGTCCAGTCTCCCAACTGTTCCAACCTCCCCTGCCAGATTGGTGCACACATCACACCATGAAGTGGGTATTGAACCAGTTCCTTGGACACCTCATCCAAGGAACTAGTTCCTTGGACACCACATTTGGTCCTGCATCAACCAACCCATTGCCAATATCTCTCCACCATTCTATTAGAGGTTTCAAACCGACGGCACAAATGTACAGGGGGAACCCTTATGGGGGTGCACATCCATCGCCAGGACATTACTTTCCCAGATACCCATGGGAACGCACTGTGGACCTCTGCGAATATGCATGGCCACCACCTCCAGCCAGCTCCATGGAGCACTGGTCCCCACCAAGATCACTCCAGTGCCCCGAAAATGCACCAGACACTTCTCAAATCCCTCAAAGAGCCAGTCAGCAACACTCTGGAAGTGTCCAAAGATCACCTTCTCTGTCCCCTGGATCCACTTGGACTTGGACATGCATGCAGAGTCCACGAAACTCATCTTTACATCCCTGAATAACATCCTTTCCTCCCAAGGCCCCAGATCCCCAGGGAAAAGCCTTGGTTGCTTCTCCAAGCAAATCCTTTGGCTGGCCACATCATTAGGTTTCCAAGTACAACAGGTTACAGAGCCTAATGAAGACCTTGTCTACAACATGATCCAGATGGAGGACTCAGTTCCAGGAGCAATACCATTCATACCAACATTGGCCAGAGAGATAAAGGAAACCTGAGAACTTCCCAACCAGCCACTTCTCACCTCCTACCAACTGGAGGGGATGTAACAGATACAGGAGAAAGAAATTCCCTACCATTTGCACCCAAATTCCATGATAGTCGAATCCACTCAAGGTAGGCCATACAGAGAGCGCTCCGCACTGACCAATAGAGAGGGTTGCCACTTGGATGTGATGGTATGGTGAATGCACACAGTGATGGCCTTGGGCCTCCACATCTCAAATTATGAAGCCCTGATGGGGAGGTTCCAGGTCTTTTTATGGCAGAAGATGGAAGCTCTGGCATCCTTTCTCCCAGATCAACAACGAGAGCTCACCAGAGTCTTCCTCGCCAAAGTCCTCCAGCATTCAAAACAGCAAATCACAACGACACGCAATCACATTGATTGTGGCTCAAGAACCCTAGTCAGTGAGGTGGCCATTCGTTGACATGCGGCCAACCTCTCTCAAGAGATGCGTTCCCAGATTGAGAGCATGCTGTTCAGTGGAGAAGGCCTCTTTCATGCCTGGTCAGATGAACAAGAACTATTACCAAGATGAAGTCACGTGTTGCATCCTAGTAATGCACACATGTGGCATCCTAGTAACACTAGGGTAGGACAGGCAGCCCTGGTTTCCGGCCCTGCTCCAACTCTGCAATCATAAGTTTTTATACCTACCCACCATTCCAAACTTACTATCCCAAGCAAGGGGAACATATTACATTGGGACATTCAAAGTTTTCACCTGACAGCGTGACTGATCACTTAATGGCCATGACTAATATCCTAAACACTCTCCAATTACAAGCTCCTACACCTATTCAAAGCTCCATCCACTGAAACGTCCCTTAACAACATGACCAATTACTTTATTGTCCCTACTACTGACTTGGACCGTCAAATCTGAGATATACTACAGGCAGCATTGCATCCCACCACTACATGCTTCTGTGGTGGTAAATGGGCCAAGTTCCTGGCTTAAGTGAAGGATCACTCCTTTGATCCAGCTGCAGCTACCATTCAAAAGATACTGGAGTTCATGCAGTCCCTACTCCAAAAAGGATTAAAACCTACTTCTATCAAGGTGTAACTGTCTGCATTTTCTACCTTCTGGGGATCCATTGAGGACTACTCAACTTTCTGTCACCCCCTTTCATGTTGCTTCATGAAAAGTCTCAAGAACCTAAATCTTCCCGTCTGATTGATTGTCCCCCGTTGGAGTCTACTTGTCATGTTGCATGAGCTTACAAAGCCACCATTTGAACCACTTGCAACTATTGGCCTGCATCTTGTCTCTTGAAGGTCTCCTTCCTGGTGGCCATCACCTCAGCCCATAGAGCTAGCAAATCAGATAGACCCTCCATATTTCACATTTCACAAAGAGAAGGTGGTTCTTCGCACTAACCCTCCTTTTCTCCATAAGGTTTCCTCAATCTTCCACTTAAATCAAGAAATAGTGCTTCCAGCATTTTATCCATCACCTTCTAAAGACTCTTCACATGCTTGACATTTGTCGCACATTGGCATTCTATTGGTCCCGTACCAAGTTGGTTTGTAATACAAAGCATCTGTTTATCAAACATGCAGACCACTCCAAGGGTGAGCTGATCAGTCCACAATGCCTTGCACACTGGATCATGGAGACAATTAAACTGGCATACCAGCTAGCAGACTTAGACTTGCTGGACCAACCTAGAACCCATTCTATCAAGGCAATATCAACATCAATGGCTTTCTGACATGGGCTTGCCATTAGATGTCTGTGCAGAGCAGCTACATGGTCAATGCAATCCTCATTCATCCACCACTATCAGCTTGATGTCAAGGCTTGACAAGACTGCTCCTTCGGTTGTCCCATTCTGTCATCTACCCTTCAGTGACAACACCACCTACCTCATTCATTGGTATGCTTCCTAGTGATCCATATGTGTGATGCACAGAGACCACAAAGAAGAAAGTCAGGTTGCTTACTTGTCACTGTCATTCTCTGAGTGGTCCTCTGTGCATTCACACAACCCACCTGCTGGCCCCACGTCAGTGTCACTGGATGTTTCTTTTACCTGCTACTTGCATAGTTATAGAACAGTTAGGGTCCAATAGAAAGCGCAAACATTGATCTTCAGTGAGAAAATGGCAGGAGCCTGCCTATTTATATAATGGGGAAGGGGTGAGGCTCCCCCCAGTAATTCTAGGCTTAGCTAGAGGTATCTTCTGGGACATAAACACTGCACAGGCACAGCACCAATATGTGTGGATGAGCAGATGACCACTCCAAGAATGACAGTTATAGGTAGGCAACCTGACTATATCTGCACAGGCTTCCAAATATTAGAAACATTTTGGGACGAGGGAGTAAAGAGTAATGTGTGTATTCATTCATTTTGATCTTGTGGGCCAATTGTAGATAGGAATGTAGAGAACGTGAATGTAGATATGTCAAAGCATGATTACACTAATTATAGTATAGAACCTAAATCATAGTTTAAACTTTCTAGCTCAAAATTTGATCAGTCTTTTCCCCATATTGTCCTTTTCATGAATCCTTAATAAATCTTTTACCCCATCTTTACCAGAACCCAAATTGTGTGCTCTGGAGGTGAAAGTGAAGAGGCTTACAAGAGGAGCTGCCTATTTGGGGTCATGCTGTGTTGTGGCAATATCCCAAAGGCATGCAACATGTTCCGTGCAAAGTTGCTGTTCTGTCCAAGGAAAAAGGTTGGCTGCAGAGGAGCCTAACGCAAAGGACCCGGTGGAATCTTTGCTAGTCATCCCCAAGGGACCTAGAGCACTTGGGGACTGAAGAGACTAGGTTTGTTTTACTCTTGGTGGTGGCAGCTGGTACCTGAGAGCCATGCTGCACCAGACCTTGCACCCTCAGATGGGGTTTTCTGCAGGTATCTGGTCAGCACAACTTCAAACCGTAATTTTTTATTATGATTTGTCAGCTCTTAGAATATACAGTGGCACCTCGGCTCACGAATGCCTCAGTTCACAACCAGTAATTTCATAAAAATTTTGACTCGGGTCACGGACTCCGCATTGGGTGGCGACCATGATCACAGCCATCTCCCCACCTCCCTGAGTGGGGAGATGGCCGCAATCATGCTGGGGGCAGGGGGGAGAAGGCCAAGATCGTGCTTGTCTTTCCTGCAGGAGCACAACCGCGATCTCAGCCATTCCCCCCCCCAGCACGATCACGCCTGTCTCCCCCACCAGCGCACCCATGTTCATGCCCCTCTCGCCCTCCTCCCTAGCATGCTCGTGATTGCTCCAGTCTCTTCTCCCCCCCCCCCCCGCGTGCCCGGATGACGGGGGCGGGGAGGGTTGCCGGATGGGGGGGGGTTGGGCTGGGGGGGGGGGGTGGGGAGATGGCCGCGATCTTTGTTGTTCTTTGTCACTTTGTTTCACATTTTTCTGATTAAAAAAATGGTTACAGAACAGATTAACCTAATTTACATTGAACCTTATGGGGAAATTTAACTTGGCTCACAACCAATTTGGGTCACGACCAGAGTCCTGGAACAGATTAAGTTCGTGAGCCAAGGTACCACTGTATCATGAGATACATAGAGATACACATATGTTACTCAATTTAGAGAGTAATTCTATGGCCCCATAACATCGAGGGGTCTTTGAATGCTGTAGGTCTCCTCCAAGGGCAGAGAGAGTTCTCTCCTTGAAGGAGATCTTGTCATGGACTTCCCCATGCCACCCCACCCCCACAGCTGCTGCAGGAAGCTTCAAGGCATCTCCTCTCTTAAGATTTGAGCTCCAGCCTCAGCGATTGGATAGAGGAGGAGGTTGTGCTAGTAAGCATGGTGAGGAGAGGAGAGGAGAGGCCAGGATTCATCAAATCCCAGGCATTTCACCTTCTGTCTCTGCTTGAAGCAATGCAGGTGAATTAAACTAACGTTCTTATTGGGTGATCAAGAATTGCAGGCAAGTTTCATTTCTTTCAGTTGGGTCTAGTAGTCAAATAAAATCGCATGGTAAACAAACTTTCTGATAAAAGGTAACAGTCTTTTCTCTGATTTCTGATTTAAGTAGAGGAAGAATGAATAGACAGTGTGTTTTATTCTTCTCCTTTGAAAGGTTAAACTGTTGACCAAGGAACTGGAAGCTTTGAAACAAAATGGGATAAAAATGGCAGAATCATTGAAAGTGGCAGAAGCAACTAATTTGGAGCTGGAGAAAGAAGTCAAATGCAAAGATTGGGAGATAAAGGATCTTGCGGCTGTGAAAGATGTTCGGTACTGTACCATTCCATAGAGGATTAATAGATGTTTCCTTTTTTCTCACTATTCCTTCCTTTCTCTCAGTTTATTCTTCATCTTTCATGATGAGAATGTGTGCTTTCTTTTGTTGTTGCCAGTGGTTTACTTCATAATTTCTACACTGCAGCTTTATGTAGCTCAGATTTGAATAGTTTTGATTTCCAGAGTTTGCATTTGTCTGCTTCTTTAATCTCTGCCAAATTAGACATGAATCTTGCGTTTATCTAACCATGAGTTATCTGCATTGGATATCAAAATACTGCCCTCAATATGGCTGTCAGTGTGGGCTTCTTTCCTCCAATCTGTTACTACTGTGCTCCACTCAGAGACCACCTTTGACATAACATGTAGTACAATTATTTGCATATTTACTCTAAAGTAATCCCATTGTATGCAATGGAATTTACTTCCAGGGAATCATGTTTAACATTGCAGCATTATTAGTATTGAACTCTGGCAGAGGAATGTGTATTGGGACTTTAGTGAATCACAGTTGCACAGATTTATATTTTAGATCTGTGCAGCTCTGTATGCAATCACCTCCCCTTCCCACCTAAAATAGAAACATTATCTAGTTACCAGATAAAAAAATTGTTCTCCTGCATCTTTGATATGATGGCCTTTTTGGTTTGCAGTGAGGGCAAGGCAAGACAGGGTACAAAAACAGCCAGTTTTACCACACATATGGCAGCCATATGGCTGAATATGAGTAACAGCATGTATCTGAATTGTGCTAATTGTAATTAAAATCTCATCAGAAACAACAGCTACTACAACATTACAAACACAATTTCTGTTCCCTGCCTTGCTGATTCAGCACAGAATCTAAAAGGTAACTGAAAGGTGAGCTGTTTTCCGTTAGAGATCTACCTGTGCTATACTGTTCAGGAAAGCCAAAACACTATCAGATCTTAGGATTTTATTATTAGTCTAGTACAAGTCTGCAATTTTAGCATCAATAGATAGCCAGATTGACCATTTTATGGAAATATTTGTTAGATGTCATGGGTATAACTAGGCTTTAAAGACCCATAATATTATCTACTCCTGCATCTGCTAATGGACTAAATGTAATAGCAATGGTTTATTTTTTTTAGAGAAACAGCTCTGTAAAATACATCTTGCTAACAATTACAACTATTCCTTAAGACCTGCAGTTTCTCCCTCAGCAGTAGCGATAAGCAACCGAGGAGGATTTACTAAAAATGAAAGGAAAGAGATATTCTGCAAATTGTTTTTCTGTTGACTTCATCCTCATTCTGAACAGGTTAATTTTTAGGCTTTATATATTTGTATGCAATGTAATACTTTTCTTCAATATTTACCAATATAGGATTCAGGATTTAGAAAACAAACTCGAATTGCTGCAGTTGAGCTGGAAAAAGGACAAAGAAATATTTGAGAGAAAGTGAGTTCTTCTGATAGATGATGTGGCACTTAAAATGTATTATAACATTTGTGCACAACCTTATGCATGTTTAGGCAGAAAATGGGGCCTGGGAGATCCAGGCTTCTGTTCTCATTCACAGTGAAGCTCACTGGGTGATTTTGGGCCAAGTCACAAACACTCAGCCTAACCTACCTCACAGGGCTGTTGTGAAGATAAAATGGAGCTTGTCAGTTGTCTTGGGTTGCTCACAAGGAGTAAAAACAAGACAGGATATAAATGCAATGCCATAGTAGGAGTAGTAATAAAAATTTAAAAATCAATATTAATATAGTTTTAAGCATTTTCCAGTCAGTTTTCTCTGTCTAAGCATGCATAGGATTGCACCAATAATTTCATAAAATGCTGCTGATTCCTGCAGATAGCCATATTGGTATATTTAATTTTTGAGAAAAACATATACAAAAACACAATAAAAGCCAAACTCATAATCTACACAAATATAAAACAATACAAATAGTAAAATTATTATTACTACTACTAATAATTGAACAGTACAATAACAACAGTGCTACCTTCCACCAGGACCAACAGATGCAGTCTTTTTTCTGGATTTTGTATTAAATTGTTAAACTTTTATGAGTGATGCAAGTTGCTTTGCATGTTCCTATAAATGTGACTGTGTGAAGTGAACGTTACATAGACTGTGGATTAAGCTTTTATGTCCATCTGCTTCTTGCCTTGCTTTACCCAGTCCGGTTTCTTCCTTTTCATGCAAACAGTTCTTCTAAAGTTATGGCTGTCTTCTCTCTACTCCACTTTAAGTGCAGTGGTCCTGTTGCCAGAGTGGTTTGTTTAAGCCTGATGTGTGACGGTACATGCTGGATACTATTCACATAATTACCTAAATGGGCATATTTTATTCTTTGTCCAAAGCCAGTTGGTATAACTTCTTACCTGCAAATAACTGAACATAGGTTCAGAAATAACATAGGTTCATTTTTATGGTCTCTGTGCATCACACATACGGGCTCTGTGCCTGTATATGGCCAGTTGTTGGGAAGATTGTCCAAGCAAGACTCATTCTGGCAGAAGCCCCTCCTCTCCCTTTCCCTAGTACATCTAGGAGGAGCTCCCCTCTATTTTTTTTTTATTATTATTATTATTATTATTATTATTATTATTATTATTATTAACATTTCTATGCCGCCCCTTGCCGAAGCCTCGGGGCGGCTTACAACACAATAAGATACATTGAAATACAATAGAACATAATAAATTACCACTAAATACAAAAATACAAAAAATACACTGAGATACAATAATATAAAATTAAAATTAACAGTATAAAATAAGTAAATAAAGAATATAGGAGGAGAAAAGAGAAGGAAGAAGAAGTTGCCCTGGCCAGATCATATATTTTAACAATTAAAATGATGTTTAAATAAAAAGGTCTTTACCTGGCGCTGAAAAACCAGTAACGACGGTGCCAGGCGGACCTCTTTGGGGAGTGAATTCCATAGGTTGGGTGCCACCGCAGAGAAAGCCCTCCTCCGAGTACTTACTCTCCTAATTTCTTTCATGGAGGGTTCCCGGAGAAGGGACTCTCCCGCAGATCTCAAGGGGTAGTCGGGCATATACGGACGTAAGCGCTTGTTCAGGTAGCCAGGACCCAAGCCGTTTAGGGCTTTATAGGTCATAACCAACACCTATCCGTCAGTATTTTCCCCAGTCCTCTTCCAACTGTCATTGTGGGTGCTTTCCTCTTGCGATCTCTCACTGTTTGTTTCATCTCTTTCTTTCTATCAGTCTTTTTCTATAACTAGTTCCCTCTTTTGCTCTCTTCATCTTTTCTTTGAAAACCTTTGCTTTATTCTTCCCCCAAAAAATCTTTTAGAAACACCTCCCCCACCTCATATCATCATCTCTTCTTGGATTCTTCACCTTATTTTACCTTTTTTGCTTTTCTTCTTCCAGTGGCACCTTTGGGGCATTTTCAGAACTGCATCAGCTTCCCATGGGCGTCTGTCCATGTGCTTTTTCTGTTTGGGAGAGAGGCACCATGTAAATGCCTGTGTGCACTATCATGCGCTCATGTGGCAAATCCAAAAAAACTGAGCAGGCTGACTTTAGGCTGAGGTTCAAAGCTGTTCCCTTTTGGCCATCAATTCAGCCATGGCAGTGCTGCCTGAACACCTGTCCATCTTGCAGGCAGTTCCTCCTTCCTACCCTCCATCAGCAACTGTGGGGATTCCATTGGCTGCTCCATCCGTGCCACCCACACTTGGGTGCTCCGAGGAAGAATGCCAGGTGAAGAAGCTGGCCAAGAAAACCGAAAGATGGTGGAGGTTCAGAAGGCGAAACACAAAAAGCAGCCTATGCACCATTCTCCATTGGCACTTCCTGCTCCTGTGCCACCAACTGGTTTCTTCAATGTCTTGACCCATCCTGGTGGTGGAACTGGCAGGGACCCAGTCCATTTCTGAAGGGGCAATCCAGGACTCACCATCCCATACTCTGGCTCACCCACAGTTGATGATCTCCCTGACCGGAGTGTTAGTTCTCTCCTCATGGGAGCAACTGCCTGTGATACCACCAATGGGTCCAGCCAGCAGCCCTGTGCCACAAGGAGCCACCTACTCTCCCATGATATCTCACATTTCTAGCCACAGGCTGAGGGAACCATCCAGGACTCCACTGCTGACCTGGAGCCAGGAGGCCTACTGAATGTCACCACTGCCTCCACTGCAATACTAGTGCAGCTATCTAGGGAAGAGAGCCTCATAGACCCTTGGTTCCTCCAACAGGAGACCCAAGCCTAGCACCTGGAGGAGACCAGGATGCCAGTTACACTATACCTCAGACTTGGATTCATGACTGTGTGAGGACCTCATCACCCATTGACATTATTACAGCAAGGAACTGGGATCCCCCTCCAAGAACTTGGGATGTTTCTCCAAGCAGATTCCCCAGATAGTGGTGTCACTTGGACTGGAGACACAGCATCTCACTGAACCACTGGCAGATCTAGTCTGCGTATCATCTGGACAGAGGACACAGTGCTGCCATTCTATTCCTTCCAGCACTCCTCACAGCCATGAAGGACCCATGGAAGACACCAGCCCAGCTGCAGCCAGTATCCCACTGCTTGGAGATTATGTACTGGGTCCAGAAGCAGGAGATTCCATTCCTTCTGCAACATCCCCAGTTGAATCCAGTCATTGTGGAGACAGTGCAGGGCTGGGCACAAAAGGAGCGCTCAATGCTGGTATATCAAGAGGGGCACCACACGGAAGCCATGGCAAAGCGGATCTACACGGATCTACACAGCAGTGGCACTGGGGCTCTGCATTTCTAATTACAAGAGCACCATGGGAAGGTACTAACTCTTCCTGTGGAAAAAGATGGGGGCCTTCATGGAATATTTCCCTGAACAACACAGGGACTTGGCTTGCATGTGCCAGTCAGAGATCCTCTGTTTCTTGTGTCAGTAGATCGCCTGCTACCACATCAACTGCCACTGGGCCCTTATTGGCACTGTGGAGATTTGGTGCTTTGCCTGGTTCTAGGCAACAAGCCTCTTCCAGAAGGCTCACCCCAGAACAGAAGAGCTGCTGTTTGATGGGGAGGACCTCTTCCATATCTGTATGAACAGGAGTTAGATGTCATATACAAGCCCTCCATTCCATCCTTGACCTGCAAGACATGAATGGCTTCATTCCTCATAAAAAGTTTTGTATGGTCTTGTTACAGAATCTTCTGCTGTAGCTGCACCAAGGTGACTGGTTCATCTCAATCAACTTGAGCAGGAAGACCAAAGGAACCCAGGGATGGGAGCTGTACCCAAAAGTCCTGAAGAAGGTCTTCCAGAGCTGGGGTACCCTGTTGGTGGACCTCTTCCCCACGCCAATCAATGCACTGTGCAATGCCTTCTGTTCTTGGACTGGGATTGGCCAGTATCTCTTGATGAGAGATACTTTCCTTCTCTATTGGGAAGGAATTCTGTCCATTTTTTCCCCACTATTCCTGTTGATCACCTATATACTGGCAGAGATCTAGAAGGAAGGGACCTCTTACATCCTCATCATGCCATGGTGGCCCTGGCAGGCATGACTCATCCACCTCCTCCACCTGTCCAGCTGCAATTTTATATGGCTTCCATTGAGAACAGACCTTATCTCTCAGGACCAAGAGATGATCCTGCACCCGGACATCAGTACCATCCATCTCATGGTGTGGAGAATCGGCTGATACACCAGGAAATCCTCTTGTTCCAAGATTCAGACAATCCTGGATATGGCCCTGCAACTGAACATGAGGCATTCCTGCCCAGCAAAATGGAATGCGTTTGCAGCCTTTCCCTGTGGTCCACATTGGGCATCCATGTATCAGGTTCTCAGTTTCCTCCATATGTTGCACTCCAGAGACTAGAAACTGTCCTCCATTAAAGTGTACCTGGTGGTGATATTATCATTCCACAGGGCAGTTGATGACTTTTCTGTGTTCGCACATCTGTCCCATAACTTCATGAGAGGTCTGCATAATCTGGTCCCATACCCTTGTTCATTCATTCTGGGATGGAGCCTGTTGGTGGTCTTGCAGCTTTTATGAAGGCCCGCTTCATACCTCTGGCCACTATGAACTTATGCCTCCTCTCATGGGAAGGTTGCCTTTTTGGTGGCAGTCAGCTAGGTGAGTGAGAGAACATTGTGCATTGATCCACCATTCCTCACTTTCCATAGGGACAAGGCGGTTTTGCATCCTGACCTGGAGTTCCTCCTGAAGATCATGTCACATTTTGATCTGAGTCAGGACATTGTTTTGCCAGTGTGTGCTTCACAAGGCCTTCCAACCTGGTGGTGTTGGCTCAGCATACTCTGGATGTGCACAGGGTTTTGGCCTTCTATCAGTCCCGTAGAGAATCCTTTCACCGGTTTCAGAGACTCTTTTGTCACTTAGGGCAAATGGTATGGGGGCGGGCTGATAGCCCTCAGTGGCTCACACACTAAATCATTGACACCATCATGCTGGCCTTTCAGTTATCCAAACTGCGGTTTCCTGAACGACCGAGGGCATAATCCAGTGGTGGCGAACCTGTGGCACGCATGACTCATTAGCCGTGACTCATCCGCGCTTTTGCATGGACAGTCAGTGTGCTGCCAAAGATATATATACTGTATATATATTTGCTTGGACTGGCTGTGAGTTGTTTTTTCTAAACTAAAATGTCAGTTTTCAGGTTTTATTGCAGTGTTGGCACTTTGCGATGAATAAGTGGATTTTGGGTTGCAGTATGGCCACTCGATCTCTAAAAGGTTCGCCATCACTGGGTTAGGGTTAGAAAACCAAGCTGTCCTGGCATGATTTTGATGGTTGGAATGTGTTTCGAATGGGCAGAAATGTTCAGCTGTGGACTGAAAAAGCCATTCAAGGAAGGCTTTTTCAAAATCACCCTCTTTTGAATGGAACTTTACCCCTATATTAGCATTAGGGATGTGCAGCAGGGTAGGGTTAAAGTTAGAAAAACGAGGTGTCCTGGCATGATTTTGATGGTTGGAATGTGTTTAGAATGGGCAGAAATGTTGAGCTGTGCCAAATAAGCTACTCAAGGAAGGCTTTTTCAAAATTGCATTATTTTCAATGCGATTTTACCACTATATTACGGTTAGGGTTGTGCACCAGGGTAGGGGTATGGTTACAAAAACGTGGTGTCCTGGCATGATTTTGATGGTTGGAATGTGTTTAGAATGGGCAGAAATGTTGAGCTGTGCAGAAAAAGCTACTCAAGGAAGGCTTTTTCAAAATCGCCCTCTTTTCAACGGAACTTTACTCATTCAAGCTTTCACTCTCTGTAAACTTTTATAGAGGAACCTGATAGGAAAGCAGAAACATCATATTTGGGTAGTTTTTTAAAGTTTTAATTAACTTTGGTAGATATATATTAGTCTGTCATCAAGCTTTGTCTAGCACAGGTTTTGTAATCTTGTTTAGCTATGTTGAAAAACCTCGCTTAATTTAGAGTCCAGTTAAACATACTGAACTAGATGCAAATTATGGCTGGATGGTAGTGGCCAAATGCCAACAGCAAGCATTGATGTAATGAGATTAGGGCTCCCAGTCAGGACTGCTGTTGGGGCAGGTGCCCTTTTTGACATGCATAACTCCAATAGTGCAAACACCTAATGAAAATGTGGTACACCAACCTGCCTTTGTTGGGGTTGCATGTAGGATGGTCAGATCTGCACCTTTAATATTTGTGGAGAAGAGGGAATTTCATTAATTGCACCTTCCATGAGACACCTATTAAAAGTTCAAGAGTCTTGTTCTTTTTGCATTTGAGCATCCTAATTTCATAGTAATTACCTATACCCAAACATGAGACTTCCAGAGCTGTTGTTTTGGAAGGAAGATTAAAGCAACCTTAGATGTATAAAATGGAAAGGTTTTGATGCATGTACAATAATGAGGATTTTTTTTCAGCTTCATGGAATTTTCAGAACCCAAAAGTTAATGTAATTATTTCTTTTTAAAGACATGCAGCAATAGATCATTGCGCCAGGGAAAAGGATGCATTAATTGCCTCAGTGAAAGAGACCCATGCTGAACAAATACATAAATTGGAAAATCAGATCGGAGAACTGCAGATAGATAAAGAAACTTTGGAAATGGAACTTCATCGGTCTGAACGGAGGCATACAGACCACTTGAAAGAGAAAGAGGCTATCATTGAAAAGTAAGTGTGCAGGGTTTCTTTTGCTCCTATGATGCATTAGCATCTCTTTTCTATTTGGACATGGGGATGTACAGATGTAAACCTATTTATTTGCAGATATTAATAATATGTCATCAGGAAGGTATGACAAGTGGTAAGCTGTAATGCTTATTCATGTGTAGGTATAGCACCATGCCACTGTCCTGTCTTTTAAAATTTTGCTATGCTTGAATATGTACTAAGCTCTTTATGGAGAATTATATTAAGAATAGTTCTGAAGCAAGGACAAATACAGCTAACCTGAAGCAATGTGAAATGCAACAAGTGCATATGAACCATCTCTTAAAATTTGTCAATTTCTATATTGTAAATATTGTAATAATTTTCCAGAGCATTCTTATGGAAAAGACAGAATTATATGTATAAGAAAGAATTATAAATAATGAAGGAAGTCCTTTCTAATTTTAGGAATCAGTTATAGCTGTATAATGGACAATTTTGGAATCTCTGTATCAAACAGAATCAAAATCTCCCTAAGTTCTCAGAAGGCTTCAGCTATTGGGAAGGGGGTTTAGAAATGAAACAAACAAACTAATAGTATAATCATAGTAAACTTACAGTAGTGACATGAGTAAGACTGACAGTAGATACTCTTAATTAAATGGGATTGGTGCCAAACTGTAGAAGGAGTCAAACACTGGAATAAGAAATAACTGGTAAATCTGATGATTTACTCATTTTTAGACACAGGACAGCATGCTTAAAATTTTACTATGAAATTAATAAAGCTAGAAAAAGTGAATATTAGATTTTTACATACAGTGTTAAGTATCAATAACTAGGAAATATATTTAGTTCTTTCTTTTTGTGTACACAGAATACATTTATATAACTTTTTTAGTATGCCATTTGGGGTGGAATACTTTGAAAAAATACAGAAAAATCTTAAAATTATAAAATATGTAGCAAATTAGAAAGCTCTGTTCGTTGTGGCAGATTTTTGTTATGTCTAATCTGTAATATTTTAAGAATACAGTTTTAAACTGTGTGGTTGAAAGATGAATTGCTCGTGCAACTGTCATAGAAACCTGCAATGATCCTTGAGATTTCCTATACAGCATCAATATTAAATAATTTCCTCCTGACATTGAGACACAATTCATTATTTGTAAATCAATGTATTTTTTGTATTGTTATTTTTAATGGTAATTTATTATGTACTATTGTATTTCAATGTATTTTATCATGTTGTAAGCCGCCCCGAGGTTTCGGCAAGGGGCGGCATAGAAATGTTATAATAATAATAATAATAATAATAATAATAATAATAATATTGGCAAATATAATATCCAGTAATAATGGAGCATGATTGAAACAGGGTACTGAGCCTCCTTCTTCAGTATGTATGCCTTGGGCTTTCAACTTAATAGTATTCATGAACTCTTCAGAAATTTTAGAATACCTTCAGAATATGGCCTGAATTGGAGAGAAATTAACTGAAAATATTTGCTCATGCATTATGTCATCAGTTGCTGTGGCTCTTGGTCAAGTTGTTTCATAATGCAGGTTTTCCAGTTAAGAATACAGGTTTTGAAAGTACTGTATAGATTTTTCCTCTGTTAAGCACCACAGTTTCTCTATCAGAAATATCACATATTATTAAGAGTGAAAGAACTTATAACACTGTATGAGTTCACATCTGAGTGATAGAGAAATGCAGTATGCTTTCTCCAGAGAAGAGCCTCTCTCATATGATATTTGAATAAAGGTCAACTGTAAATTTAGATATATTAAGTCAGTCTATATTTTTGCCTTTTGCTGGGGACATATTTTAAAGTTACGCTTCGCTAGGAGACTTGGGGTACTACCTATATCTTACTAAATATAATGAATATGTATTGTGTAGCTTTTATTACGGCAATTCCATTTATGTACTAGTTTGCTTGATGCTGCTTCACATATGCAACTGTAGGAAAATGCTTCTTGTCCTACACTAAATCCTAAACACACCTGCCAAAGTGCAGAATTCTTTGTATTATCGCATACATATATTTGCAGAGGAATCCCCCTCAGTATCAGTTGTGGTCCTTCTGCATGGGCCAAAGGATATGTTTATTAACTGGCTAGGGAAGTTCTCTGTGTGTATTAGAATACTATGTCTAATACAGATTGCTGGATTGAAACAATCATCTGGAAACAAGTCCTGCTGATTTCAATTACTCTGATTGCCATTTTCTTGGAATTCCATTTATTGATGCTTATTTGTCAGCATTTGTCTGATTGACATATTTAACACTGTATTATAGTATTTAACCATGTGTGAGACTCTTGTAACATTACTTAGTTTTATCAAAATGGCAAGTTATTGCAATGCCTAAAAATGCTATAAACACAGGAATACAGGCCTTGTTTATATTTGCACTCTGCTGTACAGTCTTCCTATATAAATGTACCCTGTACCTTAGATCCACATCTGAGGCCCTTCTGAGGGAGCCCCCTCCTCAGGAAATAAGGAGAGTGGTAACAAGAAGAAGGGCCTTTTTGGAAGTGGCACCCCGACTTTGGAATGAGCTCCTCAGAAAAGTTCATCTGGCATCATCTTTATACTCTTTTCAGCACTAGGCAGAGACCTTTTTATTTAGCCAATATTTTAATTGTTAATCTATTTTTAATAGTAATTTAATAGAATGTGGTATATCTCTTATGAAAGTATCAGTTCTGCTAAGATGAGGTGGATGTGCTTTTATTTCCTTACTGTTTTATTGTTATTTGATTTCTATATTTTATATCATTTTTACATGGCTTTATTGTTGTAAGCCACCCAGGGAGCCATGTGGCTAACAGGCAAGCTAGAAATCAAATAATAAATAAATAATAAATAAAGTAATTTTAGATACCTTGGATTCTAAATTTTGGGCTGGTGGAAATCTTTAATTCAGAGATTTGCTGAAGAGTACTGGTTCTCAGAGCTGATTATATGAAGAGGGGAAAGTTCCCATTGTCATCTGTTGTTAATATCACATGGAAAGCTCTGTCCCTCCCAACAGCAATAACTTATCAAGCCTTGAAGGTGGGCACTCAGACCCTCCTTTCCTTTTAGTCTAATGTATGATAACTTCCAGCTATTCCTGGAGCTAAAGCCATTGAACTAACCTTCCTGCTTTTCCCATCTCATGGAGGTGGGAAGGATTGAAATGAGGTGCTTGGTCTCTTTTTTGCTTCATAACATATGAAATGGAAACTAAGCCGTTTATCACCTCCACTCTTACAAGTAGAATGCAGACAGACTGCTGTGGTCTCAGCTGGGGCTAAACCTGCATGCCCTCTATCTCTCCTTCTCTGTTTGGGAGGATAGAGAAGGAAGAGGTTCCATTATGGGGTCACAGCAGGATTGACAATAAAGCCTGCAACACTTGGCATCTGTTTTAATATGAGCACCTGCATTTGTTAGAGATTTTTGAGAGATTTATACTTAATTGTGATCTTACTTGGAAAAAGGCAAAGTTGTTTCAATTCCATCTTCAGGTCTGTAGATGACAATGATGATATTGTTTGTTCATATATTTCTCTTGATTTTGAGCTTAAAATGGTAATTTCATCTATCTTTAATTCTTTATTCACATTCATCTTCCAGTTATATTGATCATCGTATCCTACAAAGAACCACAGTCTTCATTATAGCAGCACAGTGTATTGCAGGTGTAGTTAGATGGTAATTGGAGCTATGCCCTTAGACTTCAAGCAATTTCTTACAGAATGCTAGAATCAGTTTTACATCTTGATTCTAAATGAATGTTTAGGAAATGCATTTTCCTTGCAAGCACTATTGAATGTAGTGCAATTAGAGAAAAAAAATGGAGCTCCATGCCTCTCTCTGCATCAAGAAAAGAATTTGCATAAAATTACCTCACTAATTCCAAAGGTATTAGATTTATTTAGGATTATTTTAATTACACAATTAAATTCATCTATAGGTTTTAACTAGCCTCAAAATTCATTACTGTGGAGTAATTTCAATAGACCTTGAAAAGAATAAATTATATTCATCTTAAAGGGTGAAGAAATGCACATAGTATTTTAGATTTACTAATTGGGGTAATTTTATCTTCCTGAAAATCAGCCACCATATCATAAGATGACAAAGAAGTTATACATATCATTGATTTCTTTAAAAATGAAAAATGGTCCAGGGATAAGCTACAGAATAGAGGGTAGCAAACCTAATTTAGGATGGATTTCAGAGTTTCCCAGCTTGCTCTCTGCCTGAGGGAGCTTTCAGTTTCCCCCAAGGGTGGGAGGTGATCAACAATGCCACTCCATTAAGTTCTAAGTGCTCACAAAGGTAAAGGCAAAGGTTTCTCTATGACATTAAAGTCCAGTCATGTCTGACTCTTGGGGGCGGTGTTCATCTCCGTTTTCTAGCAAAGGAAGCCAGTGTTTGTCCGCAGACAGTCTCCGTGGTCGTGTGGCTGGCATGACTAAACACCGAGGTGCACGGAACGCTGTTACCTTCCCACTGAAGTGGTACCTATTTACTTGCATTTATATGCTTTCGAACTGCAAAGTTGGCAGGAGCTGGGACATAGCACGGGAGCTTACCCTGTCCTGCACATTCAAACTGTCAACCTTTTGATATACAGCCCAGCAGCTCAGCAGTTTAACCCATTGTACCATCCGCAGTCCCCTCTTAAGTGCTCATACAGGAGGTTAATACTGCCCTCTCTCCCACGTATACACAGATATGCTTTCTACACATGTCCAGGGCTGGAGGATTAGATCCTGCTTTTGGTATGAGGCTGCAACCCACGTGGTGTATTTTATCATGCTATACATCTGTGCCAATTTAGTTGCATCTGCTATGATCTTTTTGCTTTCTGTCGTGTGTGTGTGTGTGTGTTCATTAACCTGGCAGACTCTTCAGCTATTAAGCAGTATAAAATGAAATAAATACATAAAATCTGATTGGAGAAAATAGATTTCAAACTACTTCAGGTGTCCAAGGTCACAGCCTAAACCTACAGTGAATAGTGGTAGAATGAGACTAACATTTATGTAGAAGCTAGACGTCACTAGTCAGTTAAAGCAAACAGTGTATTCACCTGGGGAAATGGTGTGATAGAAAATTCTAAGGCTGGTTTTTAAAGAAAAGCTTTACCAATATTCATTTATTAATAAATGCCATAATTTATATGGAAATATGTGAGCAAAGTGATATAATGTTCATTCACTGTGTATAGTTCTGCAAAGTGCTTGGTGGATAAGTAGAGTGTGATAGTGTTAAATAGACTGTTTAGAACTAGTAAGGAAAGTAAAGAATTTCTAAACATTTGCTATAGTGTTGTGTAAATTAAATGTGCATACATTTTTTGTGTTTATGCCAGATTTTGACAGCACCAAAACTAGTATAAAAGTGGAAAAATATCAAGAAGGCTTATAAAAACTAAGAGTGTGCAATGGCTTCCAATTGAAGAGAGACAGATAGAGTTGCTAAAAGGTATTAATATTTAGTCATGTGTAAGAATATTGGTACAATCTAGAGGCCTGCACACTAGTTTACTTCTCATTTCCATCTGAGAGAGGAACACTGCTAAAGTACAGTGGAATATGTCTTGCTTGTAAAAGGCTTACTGCCACAGACACATCATTCAGGTTTACTATCATGTAATGTAAGGAGCAGGAAACCAACAAAAACACTATTTTTCACTCTATGCATTTTAATTCTATGAAATTATTTGCTTTGGGATATTGCAAAGTCCAAAAGCATAAGAATAGAATAGTATAATTGGTCTTTCAGCCAGTTGTAATTTAAGATGATGTGGTTCTTGGCATCTGGTTCCAAGAAAAAAAAACTTAATTTTAAGTACAGTTCTTAGCTGTAGTCAATTATACTGGATATTCACAGTGAAAAATGTGACTCACTTGCAAATTAAAAATAGTGTCTGAATATTGAATATTAAATAAAGCAATCACTGGTGCCTTTGAGTTCTCAGTGGCATCCTTCATTAACACCTGTTGTTCCTGGTTGTGTTTAGAGATAGAATTTTGTGCTAGAAAATCTGATCTGTTAGATCATATGTTGTTACAAAGTTGGAGCATCATTATGTTTTTATTTTATTGATGTAAAACTAGATACCCATAACATAGGTACCTCTTCCAGAGTACTCATTAAGCGAATGTCAGACTTAGCAATAGCAGCTTGGTCTTCTATGTCTGTGCTCTAGGCCATAACAATTCATTTTGAAAGTAGAGTGCCTGTGTGGTGTTACTAATTATAGTCTGAGGGAAACCAAATCCTGTTCCCTAAAACAGAATTCTAAATGTCCTGGAGAGACAGCACTCAGTTCACTGATCAGATGGAAGGCATCAGCTGCTGGTTACGGAAATGCATGGCTTGAATAATGTGTACTCGAAATCAATTTAAGATAAAAATTTCTACATCAGGCAGGCAGATTCTGAAACACAAATGCATTCCATTAGTACACCACAGACTTGCCCAACTTGGTGCCCTCCATATATATTGGACTACAGCTTCCATGACTGGCTATGCTGGCAAGGAAATATGGGAATTGCAGTCCTGTCCATCTAGAGGTCATTAGTTTGGGAAAGGCTTGTATGTTTTATTTATTTATTTATTTATTTATTTTATTAAAACATTTTTATGCCGCCCCATTCGCCGAAGCCTCGTGGCGGCTCACATCAATAAATTAAAATAATTATAATATAAATTAAAATATAAATATAAAATTAAAATACAACAGTACAGTATAAAATATACAGGTATATTTAAAAGTAGTGGCAATATCTACCATTTTAAATTGTTAATCTCTGATATTCTTACATCAAGAAGTTACTTATCTGTATTAAACTAATCATCCATTTTACTTAGTTGCCATTTATAGATACATTATCCAGGTATTTGTCTGATGAAAAATATTTTTGGCCTAGTGACCATTGAGCAACTTGAGACAATAAATTCCAAAGCTTAACCTTACATCTTATGTAAACAAGCCCTTTATTTTGTTTATCGTAAGTCTGTTTAAGGGGTGGGAATCCGTTTGCAGTCCGAAGGCTGAATGTAAAGCACCCTAGGTTTCATCCAGATAGCCATTTTCAGCTGCCTAGGTGAAGTGTTGTGGAAAGGGAGGGGAGACTTCTCTATTTGGATATAGAGCAATCCACTGACCCCAGCCTCCTCCCGCCATGCCCCTTTTCCTCCTCTCCAAGGATGACTTCCAACCTCAGAGAACCTCAGCTGGTACAAGGTTGGCAGGGGCTCCATTTTCAGAGTCTGAACTCTGAGGTCGTAAGATGTAGGAGATGGGGTTCCCAATAATCCTATCCCCCCGTTATTTCAACAATATCAGGGGGCCATAGGATTGCATCCTAAGGTATTTAGCTCCAAAATTTTAAATCATTTCTTCTTAGATAATGTAATCTACTTTTATCGTAAATATTTTTCTTAGTAATGTGTGTACAATTGTACTGCATCTGCTTTGAAGTAGACAGACCAATCTACACTCTTGTGAATGTAACAACCTATTCTTGCTTCTTTGTTTTTGCTCATTTTCTGTATAAGTTCTAACAGTACCTTTTATTTAATCCTTCAGCATATATTATTATTTATTTAATACATTTCTGAATTGCCCTCCCACTCAATGAGCAGTTGAGGACCTTTTCATTCAAAACTGCCAACATTTCCCAAAACACTGAAACAAATTGCTAAAATACATAAATTTCATTTAAACAAGGAAACCATTTAAACAGGGATAGGCAACTTTTGGTGCTCCTCATGATTTGGGTCTATAACTCCCATAATGCTTCAATATTAGCTATGCTGGCTAAGACTAATGGGGGTTGAAGGCCAAGGCCAAACCATATTGAAAGTAGCAAATTATTTATCTCCATTCTAAAATCAAAGAATGGCGTTAATCAGTAAAACATGGTCCAATTGTAATAGTTATGTTTGTTCCATTTATAACATTGCCTTATGAACTCCTACAAACAGCTCATTTACTTTCATTGAATACTACCAGTTACATTCTGAAAAAGGTTAACTATGGTTAAATATTAGATAGAAGGAAGAAATATATTTTCTGCTATCCCAGAGCTTTGATCTTTCCTTTAATCACTTTCTTTCTATCTAGCTTCTGCTTATCTTATGAAATAGTCATCCAAATACACCTGAGATTGTCGATTCACTTAACAAGAAGAAACCTGAACTACTACCTTAAGGTTACATGCAAACCATTTTGGAACCATAGGAACCATTTTTTACTATAAAATACACCACAATATAATCTTTATCTACAAAACGTATCTGGGTTAGCATTTGCCTCTCATGTTTGCATTTGTATTAGACTAGGAATCCGTTATATTGGTTATCTGAAATTTCTGTTTATTCAAAGCTATTTAAATATTATTTCACTTTACTAAAATGATTGATTTTTTGATATTTGGAATATTTTCCAGAGCATTCAAATTAGTGTTCTTTGCCTTTTTGTGTGCTTTTTTGGCTTTCTTAAAGCCACATGAAAAAAACTGCTCATGTGATTTGTGTTCTGTATATTTTATAGACTTGAGCTAGAGCTGGAGGCACTGAAAACAAGCTTGGATTCTCAGACAGCTCAAATATCCAGGGAGGCAGTTTCAAAAGACCTTCAGATTCAGGCATTCCAAGAAGAAGAGCTGAAACTGAGAGCGCAACTAGCTAGCCTATTACAACATATTGAAAGGTAAATAATTTTGAAAGACTGATAAACTTTTTTTTTAAACAGGGCCTTTCTTCATGGTCAATCGCAATGCACACCAGCCACATTTAAGCCTTTGAGCACTAATTCCAGAATGCCAATAATAGTTTCCATACTTAATAAATGGTAATATGACTCTTTTGGTTCTCCTTTTGCTGGCTCGCCTTTGATACCCCACTCTCATTCATTTCTCATATTCAGTCAGTTGTTAAATCTTGGGTGATTCCGGATGAAGCCTTATTGCTTTACTTCACTGCCCCATTCACAGAATGTTTCAGTAGGCATCCAGACATCATCTCATTCCTCTTGTAACTCTCTCATGTTTTTCTTCCATTTTTCACTACAGAAAATCCATTAAAGGAAAAAGATAACATTGTTGTCTCTGTTGTTATTCTTTGGTCATTTGGCCTGTCTGGAGTAATTAATTTCACTCAGTGCTTCAGCCATATGATGCCCCCCACAGTCCAGTGTCATAACTATTCTGTTACCAAGAAATAGAACTTAAAGTACCTGTATACAGTTGTAGAAGTGTTCTGTAAACACTCAGTTTCAGTTGTGCACATTGTGTTTTATGGGACAACTAGACTTCAGTCATTAAGACTGTTGATGCCTTGCTTTACTGATTGTGAAAAAGGCTCCCAGAGTAGCTTTTATACAGAGTAGAAGCAATCACTCTCAGAAAAAAGCCCAGGGCACTAGAGTCAGGAAAGATTTAGCTCCTTTTTCAGTGTCATTTTTGAGTCCACTTTTTTCCATATAAGTGAGTGTCTGCCATTAACACTTTTGGAAAAAGGTGAAACAGAACACTTGGGAACACTGTTGTGTTAGTAGTGACAGTAGGTGACCCAATTCAGCTGAAAGGGACCCTTTGGCTGGAAGAAACGTAACAAGAACCCACTGTGGATTAATTTTCCTGTAGTTTTTTATTGTAGTAACTGCTGCCGTTTTAAATATTCAAGCTGCAACAGGGGCAAATTATATTGTAGTGTAGAAATCTAATGAGGGTGGGTTCTTAGGGTTGTTAATAAGCTACCTGCAGCCCATGGGTTCTGTGTGGGTTGTCAGCCATCCCAGCAACTGACTTTTCCAGGTTCACTCATTACCATAAGATAGAGTGCTCTCCACACACAGCTTAAATATTCAAAATGGTGGTGGGCGGCTGTTGCAGTGAGAAGCCCACAAAGAAAATTGCAAACCAGCCCAGTTAAGAGGACTTTGAGCGGTCATTTACCACTAATACTATGGTAGTTTTGCACATCAGTAAGGACTGATTGGCACCTTGCCATGGGAAAAGACACTACATATTCATCCTTGTGTATTGCCCTCTACCCATGGCAGGAAGACATGGGGCTGTTGTTCTCCTTTGACCTTAGAATCCAAGAGAAGCTGTGGCAGTGACCACCCAGTCATGTCCATGTTGGACTGCATGAATATGAGCTTCTATCTGAAGAGGGCTACTAGCCATTTAAGGCAGAAGAAAGGCAAAAAGCCAGGTGCAGGCTGACATAATATTAGTGATTTTTGGCTCTCTACCCACAGACAACTAAGAGGAAAGGATGAGAGTACTGGGGAACTGGCTGCTACCATGTCATGCTATGCTTCATCTCTCTGACTTTTTTCTCCCTTAAAGGGCCAGTAGGCTTTAAAGCAGAAGAAGGTTAGAGCTGAGCATGCAAATTGACACGAAGGCAGCCCCAGCAAACACCCTGCAGTACTGCAGCTGCAACCAATCAAGCAATAACTGGCTAAGATGGTATTAAGTTGGGAGATCACCTAAGTATTAAGGTCATCCAGTATGAATGAGATAATCCAGAGATCCAGTGTAATGTAGCAGTTAGAGTGTCAGGCTAGGACTGGGGAAGACCTGGTTCAAATCCCTACTCAGTCCTAAAGCTCAATAGATAACCTTGGGACAGTCTCTGTCTCTCCCTGCCCCCCACTACTCCTCTTCAGCCCCCTCCTCTCAGCTATCAATACATAGCTGTTTAGTCCAGGAAAGCAACAAATTACAAGCCTGCTCTTGTTTTCCTTTTCTTTGTTTTATACATTTAAAAACTACAGTGCTTTTTGTGTTTCCCTTATGGTGCGCTCCTTGCTACTTTTGCTGAAAGGATCTTTTTAGCATCCCATATTTTGAGGGCATGAAACTATATTTCACTGTGATTTCATTGCTCTTTTGAAATGTTAGTTTACTCTCCTGCACATGCGCACACACAACATTCTTCCACAATTAACACAACCTATAAAGTTGTTTCTTCCAAGTCTGTTGGAATAAATTTATCCTGAGATCAGCAAACTCTTTGCCTGCCTGAATGTTCTCTTTCAGCTTCACAAGTGTTATACTACCATTGGGTCTTTCCTGTCTCTAAATCCAAAAAAGTCTTAGTAATTCTTTTACTTTCTATGCTATCTGATGGGCTGGAGTTCTGTGTGTTATGCACAGCACACTTTAATTTTAAAGGATTTAAAAAAAAACACATTACTGAATATTTTGGTACATTACAGCACTGATAATAATGAAATTCTTGCCCTCCTAAATTAATAATCTGAAAACACCTTGTTTTGCTTTGTCTTAGATATAAACAAGAACTTTCACTAGCAGCAGAGAGAGAAGCAATTCTGGAAAGAGCTAAAGTGCAAACAGAGCTGGACTGGCAGCGGCATTGTGAGAATGCTGAAAGAAATCAATATCAGAAATCAGAGGCTCTGATACACAGCCTGTCAACAGCTAGGGACCAGGTCAGAACTGCATTACATTTCCAGCAGCTTAGCACAGAATATTAGTAGAGACATCTTTCGTGATGGAAGATTTGATGATTTAGGAGTAACCATTCTTCTGTGCTTCTAGCAAATGCTTGATGGTTCATGTTCCTCATGGGGTTAACAATCTCTTTCTGTAAAGTATTTAGTCTGCACTGAATCAGAGGATGCAAGAAAGTGATTTGGTTTAAATAATGTATATAAATAGCATGACTAGATCTTAATATAGGTCTAGCTGAGTTTTCTCAGGAGGATTCTTTCCCCCCTGCCTGCATTTGAAGATCAACTGGACAAAAGGGCTGGCTAAAAGAACTTTATTTAGTGCTGCTTTCATCTAGCAAAGCAGAGTATACAGGGGGAAATTCTGTTTCTGGCAACCTGCATACTATTAGAAATAGTACAGCACAGCCTGCTGTTTGGTACATGTTGGAAGGTAGAAAGCAATAGCCTTTGACAGCTGTTGCCTGAACATCTTGGGGCATAATAATGGCATCAGATGCTGAGATGGACTGATCAGTTTCCCATAACTTCCAAGTCACTTACGGGACCTCTCTTTTGTGTGAGAGTGCAGGAAGCCCACACCCGGTTGCATCACAGCTAAGGACACAGCTTGATGTTCCAGCATTCAGCTTAATTTGTTGTTTTCCACTGCCAAGCTACTGGAAGCTGCAGCTAATACAGGACCCCATAAATTAATATTGTTGTTGAATCCCAAAGGAAGAATCCATCATGTCTGTAGAATACAGTTCCCTTGAAGGAAATTGATACATGCTGCATTACGCCACCTCAGGGGGGAAGAGGAAGAGGATGCATGTATATCCTGACTTTTTGCCCTCTTGTGAGGAACCCAAAGAGGCTTACTTAACTCCATTTTATCCTCACAGCAACAACTTTGTGAGGTAGCCTGAGAGTGACTGGCCAAGTCACCCAAGTGAGTTTCATGGCCATGTAACTAGAAGAACCTGGATCTCCCAGGAGCCCCATCCAACATTCTAACCTTCATACCACACTGACTCTCAACAGTGGTAGAGAAGAAACATATAGCTTTCTTATTTTCTTGCATGCCCCCTCACTTTCCCCATGATCAGTAACTTCTCATCATAAATTATACTGCATCAGCTGTGGTCATAAGAGCTGCAGCACAAACAATTTTTGAGATGCCGGTCAAGACTGACCTGGACAACATAAGTGAAATTCAGTCATTTGTGCTCACCCAAGTCATTCTCAACAAACTGAATTTTAATGATAGCTGGGGGATCCTAGGTGGCCATTTATTTTTTTCTGGGTTATATATAAACAGTGTTCTAGGCCAAGGTGATTAAGATGGATGTTACATCTTGACTTGCAGCTGAAAGGGAACAGATTAGAAGTAAACACATGTAGAGGGCAAATATTGGCTCTGTATGCTGAGGACCACTGACCTAGTGTTTGTGTGGTTGTGGTAAATGGGCCCTGGTGTAGCACTGATCCTGCATGTGTACTCCTAAAATCTCTGGAAGGGATGTCAAGATCTGAGATCACAAGTGAAGAATGTTAAGTAATCAGAACAGAATATCTGGGACCATGCATAGCTTCCCTTTAACTAGGCAGTGAGCAAATGACCAGTAATTCCAAGTCAGGGCTGCTTATTTGGGAGCTGCTCCTCCCATGATTGGCTGAGCAGAAGAGGAGGAAACTGAATACAGGGCTGTCCCTGGGTTATAAATGCATTCCATTCCTGAGAAAATGGAAATTTGTCTTTAGGCCAAATTTGTATGCAAGTTGGATCACATATTGTCAGCCTTCCACATTTATGAGGGTGAGGAGCCCAGGACCCCCATGAAAGTAGAAAAACCACAAATATCTTAAACCTCCCCCCCCCCAATCTCACTAGCACTTTGCTCACTTTGCAGCAAGGAAATGCCAGAGAGATTTCTGTCTCCACAGTGGCAGGGCAGGAAGGCATGCTTTGGAAGCCCTACCTCTCCTTTTTTGCTTCTCTCTATAGTAATGACGATTTTCCACGGTACTTTTTAAAATTAATAGGGTTGTTCATAACTCAAATGTTCATAACTTGAGGATTGCCTACACTGGTTAATAAGGCATTATCCAACTATATCTTGAGTACATGGAAATGAATTGGTTATTGATTTAACATAATGTATTCCATCTATTTTAGAAAGCTACTTTGCATTTCTTCAGAACTTTCTGCCCAAAATGCAGATGATCTGTCTGGATTGAGATTAATTTAAATTAGAAAGAAGAGTAAACATTGTGTGGGGTGGGGATGTTATGATAACATTAAAGGTACCAAGAGGCTCAGAAAGTTTGAAAGAAGGTATTGTTATTATACTGTAATTCTGTTTTATAGCTTACTGCTGAACTACATGAGAAAGAGCGTGAATTGCATGAACTAGAAAGGATCTCATCTGCCGTAACCCTTGAGAGGGACAAGGCCATTCAGAAACTTCAAAAGCTTGATCACTTGCCAAAAGGAGAGAAACAGGTTGAAATTACGCAATACTTCTTGAGAGCTAATTATTGGGAAAGCAGTATCTTTTTGAGGGATGTAATGCAATGGATATCCTATTTGTTACCAACCGGTCTACTGCAGGGGGCAATAGAAAAGGCTTTATTTTAGAGTTAATTTGCTCTTTTTTCTGATATGAGTATAGTGTCAAAGTTGTTTTACTATGATTGTCTATGTGCTGATGTTTAAGTATTAAGTACTTGAGCTATTGACCCTTTGTGTACCTTTGTGTTGTTAGCTTGCTCTCTCTCTGTGTGTGTGTTTGGTGCACATTTGTGGAGTGATTGGAGCATTAAATTCAATGAGAGTCCTGGACTGACTTAGGCACTGAAGGGCTTCAGACAATCCAATCAAACAGGACTAGTTCCTGCATATATGGAATGGAGAGAAGCAAACTGGAAAGTTTCCTTTAAAGGAAAGCACAATGATGCTTAAAAACTTGTAGACTGAATATTTGGAAGGAGGGGAACTGAGCAAGGGCAAATAGCATATGCTATTTATTACTGCTTAAGAACTGACATATTAGAAGGGATCTTGCACAATGACAAACCACAGTAGTTTCCTATGCAAGATGCTTTGTCATATTCATGTTGTGATATTTTAGCACAGTACGTTCAGTTTTTTGAAACCATGCATGAAACAATGTTCTTTTTTATGGTTTCCATGCCTCACCATGGTTTTCACAGTCCTGGTATGCAGTTACCATAGAGTTCTCCAGAAAGAGGAAAAGCTGCACTAGCCTTCTAGCATGGGACTGAATTTCAGGCGTGGACTGATGGGATACTTACATGCCTCTGATCAACAGAAACTGCAGTTACACACATGTATCTTCATACATATAACTCTGTCATATTGCTTGTATTCAGTAGTTTCTGAGGATACAAGTAACACAGGAAAAAGTTTGAAAATGTTTTATGCAAGGAATGAAGTGGCTACAATCAGTAGCCCAGCCTTGTACAATTCATTACTTCAAGTCTGGCTTTATAGCTTATTGCTAAATATGTATTTAAAACACAGGCAGAAGTTTCTGCAGCAGTGTTTTTGTTTTGAATGTTTTTGTGACTATTAAAAACCACCTTTTTGCTTTGACTTCCCAGCAGCAAACCTCTTCATGCCAGTTTGAATGGCAAATACACTGAACCACAAATGGGCATAGAGAACAGTTTGTCCTTATGGTCAAAGCTATCTATACAGAGTGGGAGGTCTTGTCGCCTTTTGGCCTGGCTGCAGGTGCATGGAAAAATGTAGGAGTTTCTTCCAACATTTATTACTATACATAACCGGAGAATCAATTGTAGTTTTGAGTTAACTCGTGTAAATATTAGGTAATGTCTGGAAGTATGATTGTATGGTGAGGTGATTGCTAGCCTCAGCTAATGTTTGACATCTCCTGCTTTTGAGCTCATATCAATATAGTATTGTGGCTAGCTTTAAAAGGCTTTCTATTTCCTTACACAAGCAGGAGGAGAATAGCTTTTTATTATTTGCAGAGTCATTCTTGCTACCCTCTGCCCTTGAAGACTGTTGTACGTGGGTAATTGGCTCCAACACAATGTGTGTACAACTGGAAATAGAAAGTAACCTCAAATCTTTCTGTAGAGCTCCCCTTTTAAATAATGGAGTGGATAGAGAGCTACAGCTAGTTATCAGGTGACACTTTCTGCTTTGGACATTATGCAGCAAACATGTGAAAGAGACCACTTGAAAAAATCCGAGGTATTATGCAGCTTTTTGAGGAATTGCCTAGCCTGGAAAACAAAATAGATTTTTACCACCCTATTAAGCAATACACAGTGTCAAGAGGCATGTCTCTATATTTATAATTATATTATTTAGAGTAAGGATGGGCAGACTTCAGGTTTATGGGAGCATGTTTGTTTTTTTTATTAGAACACTGAGATTACCCAGCAGAGTCCGGTGCAAAAGGCACTACTTAAATTAAAGAATGCTGAGCCCGATAATTTGCTTTGAGTAGGAAGACCTGAATGCAACACAAAGTCCTTCTGCACAAAAAATTACTCCTAGTTATCCCAAATTGTCTTCATTTCAGCACTCTCAGGAAAATGGGTGGTTTTATTGCTCTTAGTTAAAAAGAAAAAAATTACTAAAAGAAAAAAAGGAAATTACTAGGTTTTCTTGTTAAACTTTTGCCAGCCTACTGCAAATCTCCAAGGCATCCAGAAGATGACCTGGCTCTACATTTGGCTCACTGCTGACTTAGAAGGCAATTGGGTTTGAATGATTCTGGTCTGATTAAACATGCATAATGGCAAATATTATGACCTGCCTGGTTGGGCCTGCTTACACATAATGACAAATTGTAGGTTAATTAACCCACAATTTTCCCGGGAGAGAGCTATAGCATATTAGCTGTGTCTGCTTTTAATCAACAACTTAGGATTGGCATGAGAATCAGACAGATATTTGCATGTTTCTCCCTGTTTAATTTAATCAAGGGTACTGGAACTATATTCTATATTCTATAGTTCCAGTACGTCAGCAGCCGTTGAGAACCTTAATGGCATTCCAAACAGGTTCTAAATTGTGCCTTTTGGAACCAAAATGGATCCTTGAGCTAAATTGTCAAGGTAATGACAGTCAAACTTACACTGCACACGGTATCAGAAAGCCAGTTTGTCTGAAGCTTCTCTGTACAATTTCATGCTCTCTTTAGTCAGGAATTGCATTCTTGCTGAAGAATCAAGATCAGAGCATGGGCCCAACCACTCTTGGACCCTGCACTACTTTGTGATGCCAGAATGCTCTTGCTAGTCAGAAGTACTTTCTACCAGCTTCCTTTAATGTTTTTCTTCCAGGAAATAGGCTTGACCATTTTAATTCATGTTATAATTACTATATAACACTACTGTAACACACCATATGTGGCTGCCTCTAAAATATTCTTCCATTTGTAAACTTCACATTTTCCCCATTGTTGTTTCCAACTTTTTCTCACCAGAAAACATCTATTAACAAGAAAAAATAGCCTTGTTCACATGCTGGGCTTATTGGAGACTACGTAATCCACATTGAGCCTTATTATGTGCCAGCTACCATTTTGAATATGCAATCCCCACTCAGGAGTTGTCACACCGTGCAAATCCAGCCACTGAGAATTATTTGAAGATTAAACAACCTTGGTTTTTTGCATGGTTATGCAAGGGTTGTTAATCCAGTTTATTGTAGGTTAAACGATCCCAGATAAACCTGGAATGTTAGGCAAACCATGTCTCTAGCTGCAAAGTCTCTTTTGATTTGGAGTGCCAGGAGTCCTCTGTCTGGAAGCACCCAGGATATCTGAAGAAATATCTCCGGCTGCGTGAACCTGCCCATGCACCAAACATAATACATGAAGCCCTATTCTGTGTTCTCCTGCTGACAGATATGCTGTGGGTGAACTCTGAAGTTATGGCCTTTATAAACAAGGCACATAAAGTATGGAAACTGCCCCCAAAAAGGAGGTCTGTTTGGGTCCTTCACTGCTTACTCTGTGATGAGGGCTTATTGGTCCCACGATGTACCCCGCTTTGGTGTTAGCTGTGGAGATTTACTCATTTTCCAATATTTTCCAGAACACTGTACAGTGTTCTGTGCTGCGAACACTTTAACCATTTGTAATTTCACCCCCTGCATGAGATTTAAATTTTTCTTGGTATATTTATCATTGAGAAAACTCACAGCGTTCCAGGGACTATGTCAGACAATTCCCTTTCAACTGCTCTACTCTTCCATGATAACAGCTATTTTCATGTGCTGTGGCAAAGCTGTGTTGTGTGAAATACTATTATGAATGTTGAAGGTAAAGATATCTTGTGGTGCACTCTAGTGGTTGCCTACCTTCCATTCTAAAAATTAGATTCTCCCTGAAAATCTTCAGACTTTTTGGAAAATCTGGAGATGCTTTGGGAGGATAGATTGAAGATTAAGGGAATGTTGTCAAACCTGATAAGAAAATTATTCCTTAAAATTTAAGACTGAAAATACTCTTCTGACATATATTCGGAAAGATAGGCTACGTTCTTAACGCCTGGACTTTATTAATTTAGGCCTTAGAGCCAGAAACACTGTTATGAGCTGATTCTTAATGTATATATTTTAACTCATGTGTGTTATTTTTCAAATGTAATGTATATTATTACATTGCATTTATATCCTGCCATTTTCCTTTTATAAGGAACCCAGGGTGACTTACATAGTCCTCCTCCTTCTCTCCATTTTACCCTCACAACAACCCTATGAAATAGATTAAGCTAAGAGTGGGTGGTCCACATGCAGCCATAAAGCTGCCACCATGCCACACTGGCTCCTACATTTCAACAAAAAATGGTGCTCAAGCCCATTTGTATGCCATAATACTGTGTGCACAATAGGGAGCGATTCCATCCCCTCACAAAATCTACCAAGACATTTAGAGGAAATAAAGAGTATTTAATGGCAATTAAGAACAGTGGTGAGAACATTCCTCCTCAGACTCCTGGTATTCCAGTCCTGGGTATTCCATATCAAGAATCACAGAAAGTACAACAGGGATGGTATGCTTCATAATTAACAGATATTTTGTCTGTTTATTCAGAAATAGAAAACACTGGTCTACAAATGTTGGGAAATTATTGACCTCCGAGATAAAATGTGCTAATTCTTAAATATTTTGATTAGATGAATTAGAAAACAGGTGATAAAGGTGCTGGTTGCTAAAGTTTTCAAGATATTTCACAATAAAGATTTATACACAGACGAGTATATTTGCCTACAAGGGAGGGAGGCGCGTGATGATCATGATGCCGTGTAACTTCTCGACAAAGTACGTTAGAACATTGAAAATGGTACCACATGGAAGTGTATAAATTTATCTTCACTTTGAGACTAAAGATTATTACCTAACTAATGTATTGTCCTTTTATTGCAAAGTATATTTGTCTTGGTCTGATCTACGCATCATACAGTTACATCTGGTGGCTTGTGAAAGTGTTATTGCCTAACATTTCCAAGGAACAGTTGTGTGATATTTTCCCTCAGAAGCCAAGATGCCTTGAAACTGTGTAAACAACGCAGATAATTTCTGTTCCATTTGTGGCGAGGTTACATTTGTATCTCAAAAGTGCAGTATGACGGCAGTGGTAAAAAAGGCATACCACCTATATTTTGAATGCAAAATAGGGGATCAGGACAAGAGTTGGGCCTCTCATTATTGTTGCATTACATGTGCAACTTATCTGCGTCATTGACTAAACAAGAAGAAGTCTATGCCTTTCGCAGCCCCAGTGGTGTGGAGGGAACCCACCAATCATAGTAGCAACTGCTATTTTTGCATGGTTTCCCCCAGTTATAAAAGGGATCTTAAGAAAGAAGAACTGGACCGTGGAATATGCAAACATTCCATCCGCGCTGCATCCTGTACCCCATGGTGAGAACTTGCCAATTCCAGATCCACCAGAATCCTACTCTCTAGATTCAGATGATGATAAAGATGGTGAGCTTGTCAGTTTTCCATGCAAAAAGCATGAAAATGTTACATGAAAAACCAATAAATGAATGGAAAGTTATGTTATTAGTATCAGTAAAAAAGATACATTTATAATGAGTGGTGTGGCACCATTCTCATTGCTATATCACATTTTGCAGAAAAGTTATGGAGCATAATCACACATCCTCCTCGTAATTTTGAATTATTTTGATGTGATTTTGACCTGAAGCTGTATCTTGAAACTGGAGCCAATTAATACCCAGGACTTAATTTTTCGTTATTAGTGACCCAGTTGTGGTAAAATTAAGCTATTTTCATTTCTGAGGCTTTCTTCTTGTAGACCAGTGAAATAGAAGCACTTCTAATCAATGGATCTGTGCCTCCTCTCTTTTGAGAAGTTTTTGTAACTGTTTGGGCAGCAAAAGGGGTCTGAATGAGCAGCAATGGCTTTTCCCCTTCTATCCATGGGATCATGCAGCTCACAGAATTCTACCCTGTGCTATTCTGGAACTGACCCATATGGATATCCAAAAAGGCATCTTTGGAATCTTAAGATGGAATTTTAAAAAATTGCTTTAGGATGTCATGGTAAAGATAAGTTTATTGACATGCCTTTTGTACTAATTGCAATTTTTGTATGAGCCATGAAATTCTTGATTTGATGACTGTGTGGCATTTCATGTTCAGGAAACTATTTCTGACACATTGAGAAGATGAAACTGCCTTATGGCCACATAATTCCAGTAATTTTCTACTTTGCTTGGCAGCAGTTTGCAGAACTCTCAGGCAAAAAATCTGAATTGAACCTGAAATTTTGTGCAATCTGGATTATCAGTCATGCAATTTGAAAAGTTAACAAATGTACTTTTTTCATTCTGTTTATAATGTTAGGAAAACCCTCTAATCACATTTATTAAACCTGCATCTTCACAATTAAGGTCTATTCCTGCGGATGAAATGTGCCTCTGGCAAATTTGTAGCAGATCTGCCTTAGCCGCCACTGCCCACCCCCATGGCACAGTTCAAGGTCCCTTGGCAAAATTGCACTTCCACATACTCTTTCCACTGGTACCTCTGAGAAACCAAGCTATTAAATTGAGCCGACCCAGTGAGGCTTCTCTCCTATAGCATATCCAAGTTATATTACACTTATCACTAATAGCTGGCCTGGTCGTATCACACATATCACTAATACCAGCTACTAACAGCATCATTCCTAAGAGACTTCCAGTGTTTGTTGACAATGTTGTTCCTTCTTCTAGCATACATGGGACACATCACTGTAATGACTTTTAAAGGGTTGTTTCACACAACTACATGTTGGTGCAATTGGCTTGCTTCTTTGATTCACATGTTTTGGTTTTGCCTTATAATTCTTGTTTCTTTCTTTAATTGTTTGGTTGCTTTGCAGCCTACTGTAGAGGCCATCGAACTTGGTTTTCCTTCCACTGAGATCCAGAGATTACAAGAACAGAACAATAACCTGCGAGCTGTTATTGCTGAAATGAGAAGAGAAATGGAAACCCTTAATAATCAGGCACTTCCCTCTGAGCATACCAAACTGAAAATGCAAGATGCAGATGGGACCGATTCTACTGCAGTTGTATTCACCCCTGGTAATAAAGTGGATTTGGTTAAGTATTACGGAGGACCATCTGCATATGCCCCTTTCTATACTTGCTTTCATCTTCATAACAGACTGTTTAATAGTCTTCTGTGATAAGTCCCATCCATCCTCACATATATGTCCAGTGAGCACTGATTATACAATACATTTCTAACATCCTTTCAAGCATAGCTAAAAGTAGTCTGGAATTTATTGTAAATAAAATTAAAGTTAGATTTGAACAGCTGTGAATTGTTGCAGTGTAATCTCTGGGCAAGATCAGTACATTTAAAATTAATGTTTTACCCAGAAGTATATTTCTTCCAGAATATGTGTTTGAGCTAAGTATTTTATTGAGCTAAAATACTTTCAGAGAATAGCTCTTATAATTATACAAAATGGAAAAAATGATCAAAGATAAAGTGGCTTTCAGTTCCTGCACAAATAGTTAATATTATGCATGTACCAAGTTACAAGCCATATGAAGCAAAATAAAAAATATATAAATATAAGTTGAATACATTCACATATCCCACCATTATCTCTCTTCCACTGAAAGTGCTATTTGCAACATGTCCAAGGCTGTCAGGAAAGCTTTGCTATGGTTGCCACTTTCCTGATAGGCCATTTGTGGAATGCTTGATCTCTGAGTTATACTGAAATAATTTCAAAATCAAGTTTTTAAAAACTATAAAAGATAAATGGAATAGCTTAGTCAATACTGTGCAGTGCTTATATCTGTACCAATTCCTGGTACTATTTCTAATTTTTGTGGCACAATTATATACATTTGCATCACAGATAAATTTTGTGTTTAAATTATGTATGAAAATCTTTTTATTATTATTTTCTTAAAGAAGAAAAATGTAAAGGAGAAATAAAAATGACAGGGGTGCTTACACAGTTATAGCATCTAAATTCTGACTTTTTCTCAATAAATGCTTTGTTGGAGCTTGCAAAAAAGACAATTATAATTCTCTAAACCAGTAAATTTTCCAGTCACTTTGATTCAATTACAAATCATCAACAATATAGGAAAATCTTATTTAGCCTAGGCCAAATGGTTTGAACCTACAATGAAAAATGCAATTTATTACTTGAAAAAATATTTTTACTGTATAGAGCAGAAAATGACTTATCACGTCATTCATCTTGTCCAATGCATGATTGCCTCATTGTTAAAAGGATCCTCAACAGAAGCTACTCTATCCTATTCCCTAACACCTCCAAGGAAGGCTTCGTTTGACAAACACAGGCAAAGAAGTTAATATGCTGGTAATGGATACAAATATATACTTCTGCATTCTTGGGGGAACATTTTTTATTTGTACTGATAATGACCAATGCAAAGTCTCCTTCACATCTGCAGTGGGCTCAGCCTGATATAGGCATTGTCTTTATTTTTACAGACTATGTCCAGTCCTTGGAAGAGGAAATAAGAAAATTGAAGAAAAAAATCCAGGCAATGGACAAGCAGCATGAGACTTTATCTGAAGTTCCTGAAAAAATATTTGTATCTTCGCTTTCATCCAAATGTAATAAAAGTACTCAAATTTCCCAGCAGGACCACATTATCAATGAGAACAATGGTAAAGGAAACAATTTTTGGTGCCCTTAAGGTATAACAACTTTCCTAATGGAAACTTCCACTTCTATGGAGGAAAAAGTAGAAAACAGAATATTTGTATATAGGCAAAGGGAAGATTTATTGCAGTATTATACCTTTTCCTTCTTAGAAGAGCTTTCTTTGTGGGACAGTCATAATGTCTGAAGTGTTATGCATTTACAGAATTTTAGCTAAGGTGCATGCAACTATAGAAGTTGCCCTTAATACAATTAACACTAATTTGTGTCTTCTCTTGCAGGTACATTGCACGCGCATGCAGTTGCTACTGAAATTACTTTGAAAAAGCATAACATCAGAGACCCGGAGGTGGATTCAATGAGGACACAAGAAACGCAGGTGGTAGGGAAACACCGAGATCCTTAGTGCCTTTACAATTACAAAAATATGTTTACCCAGAGAAGAAATGTATAACATCCTCAGAAAAAGGGCTTATTCTGTTAAGAACATCACCAGCATCCTTCTCAAATCTCCACTAGGAGGCACTGTGATTCTATATGCCTTTGCTGTGTGTGCCTTATCCGATTAACAGCAGTTATTTCAATCTAATGGGATACGGTGTTACCTTTAATGACTCACAACTATAAAAGGGCTGGTTTAATTGAAATGGGGACAGCCACAAAGGAGAGTAACTTGTGTTACTGCCTCATACTGCAAGGGATTAATAGCTCAGCTAAATTTGCAGCTGCACAAGCTGAGAGAGTGGGCAAAGTTTATCTTGCTTTGCTAGAATGTCAAATCAACTTTTTTCATAAAAGAATATCTTGTTGAAACCAGTTTTATTTAAATGACAACAAAATATAAAATCCAGTATCTAAAGTATAGGTGTGTAGCCATCATCACCAAAAAGCCAACCCATCACTCTGAAACTCTCCATGGAAGGGACTTTCATAGTCAGGGTTTCTCCATGCACTCTCAATGCATAAAGTTGGTGAAAAGGTGAAATAATGAAGAAGTATCTTAAGCTCTTGGGGATGGAAGAGATCAGAATGAGACATAAGTATACCTGCTGCAAATAGGTCAGATTCCTTAACCCAGGACAAGGACCTGTGTCTGGAGACAATGGGGAGCCAGCACTGGAATTGTAATGCTGCCTCATCAGAAGTGTGTCCTTACTGCTCCCCACTGGCAATGATGTTGCTCCCGTGTACTGGTAGAGAGAGGTGCAGTAAGTGCTGCATTGACTCCTCTACTCAAAGATCCTTTGAGTAGTGGACCCATCCAAAGTAGTGACTTCATTTTTCATGACAGTCTTCAGCCATTCCCATGGGAAATTAGTTTAGGAATGTTTTGATTAACAGAACTACTTCATTTTTGTCTTAGTGTACACAACACACTACACACTATTCAGAATTACCCTCCTTTCATAGTGGTTGCCATTTGGGTCCTCATTCTGCCATAGCAAAATAAATACTTCGCTTAAGATTTTTCTTCTTAACATAAATCTGGAACATTCCTTCTCTCTTTACTCTTACAGGATCCAATGATCAAAAGGCTTCAGAAAAACTCTGTAAATCTTAGACCACAGTTACTAGGCATGGGAGCAGGTGATGGGCTTCAGCAACATACAGGAAACCATGTCCAAATGATGCAAGGTAAATTGAAGGAAGCTGTGAGAAAGATATGCAGTCTGAGCACAGAGAAGCAACAGCTACTAGAGATGGTAAACAGGCTAAGAGCAGAACTAGGAGCACCTTCAAAGAAAGGTAAGTGCACTTAGTAGAAGAACCTTAGTATAAGGAATTCAGCTTTTTGAGTCCAAGGAAGTTTGAAGTCTGAAGTGCTTCGTGCAGGCTCATTGCCAAGATTAAGAGGTCCCAGTTAAAGCTTGAGAATAAAGTTCTAGTGATTAAGAGCATAGCTGTTCCAAGTATTGAAGATGGTGGGATGGAACATGAACAAACTCAGTATTTGTTCCTTATTCTTGGCTATAGAGACCTTCAAGTACTGGCCTTAGGTCAAGGTGGCAACTTGATGTTGCATAATATCAAAAAGCTCTTTTATGTACTTATCATGTATTTATGAAGATCCCTGAAGTAAGCACTTGTTTTTGTTTGGTTTTTTTCCTGGAAATGAGAAACAATGCAGAATGGCATTATTGTATAACAAATGTGAAACCAACATAGATGCCTTGTAAGAGAATTTTAAAGCCTGTGCTCTGCGGCACAGCTTTCTTGGATGGAGTTGAGATAGAAAGGCCATTGCTTGAAAAAGATATTCCCAGGCTGTTTCTACACAACTCTTTACCATTTTACTCCAAGATATTGCCATACTTTATATTTACAGTTGTCATGAGCAATCACCAATAGGCAAGATGTTTTGTCTACTTAAACATGACAAGTTAATGCAATACAGAAAACTCCCATACTTTTATTGTTTTCAACTGTGTAGGATCTTGGAATAGTCATAGCTCAAAGCAGCCTTTCCCTGCTGCACTCTATCCTAAAGAACTTGTGAAGGAGACCAAGCACCGTCTTCTAGCTTTAGAACATCTACAGTACCAGCTTACAACCCAGGTAATATGGTTATGTGTACATGTCCAGGGCCTGCACTGGCTATTCCTTCGTAACCAGCCAGACACAGGACAGTCCAACACTTGTGCCAGCTCCCTGTCACCTTCATCACTTCCCCCACCATGGTACAGCACAGCTTCTACCACCCCCACCGCCTGTTATGGCACCCCCCCCCCCCCGATATTGAATAGTGAGAGTGCCAGCACCAGGGAGAGGATGACATGGGAGCAGCTGGGGAGCTTGCTGCTAAAGTCCTATTTTAGAAGTTACGGGAATGCAACAGGCAAATATAAAGAATACGCTATTCACTAAAAACAGTTACAGTGAATTTGGGAGTCAGATGGCATAAATGGATTCCTTTGCTTAGCTTTCATTAAGAATGCCAACTAGTGTGTCTCCCCATAATGCTCTGAACTCAGAGGATTCCAGAAATCCAATGGAAAGTGGAGGAACATAGAGGCAAGGATGCCACCGTGCTCTCCTCACTCCAAAGGATTTAGATTGCGGATTTTAGCAGTCTAGGCATTTTTTTCTCCATGCAAGGAGGAGGCATGTGTGGGATTATTTGTAAGATGGTGGTGCCTCTTCCCCTCCCTGCCCCCTGGAACCCCCCCCCTTGCCAGCTCCAAAGATAGTCTTTGGAGCCACAACCAACATGGACATAACCACACCAACTGCAGGGGCAGAGGGAGAGTTCTCCAAGAACAGGGAATCAGCTTTGACCTCACAATGTTTTTTCAGTGTTAGAGGTGGGATTCTGACCTATTCTGTGATGCCCAAGACAATGTCAGGGGGTTAGACTCAAAAATGTATATTTTCAGAGGAATAGATCCCATTATTTAATTGGGCATACAACAATGGATGCACTGTAATTGGCTAAATTATCTTTTGAAAATGTTATTTGTTATCATCATACACATAGTTTCACACTGAAGCACTGGAATGATGAAACTGGGACTTTGAGATTAAACCTATGGGAAACATTCACTTAGCACTTGGATGGGGTGGGCAACCTATGGCCCTTATTTCAAAAATTCTATGCATGTAATCAGATCAAACTTCTGACAAGAGGAATTTGTCCCTTTTCTACTAGCCAATGAGTGAGAAGGAAGAGAGAGAGAAAGAAAAGAGGTTGTCCACTCGCCTTTGGCTCATTGCTACCTTTGGCCCACTGCTGGCACAACCCTCCACAGATTACCTTCTGCCTATCCCTGCATCCTGAAGTAACCCTATTAAGATTTCGTGGATGTTTGTGTTATTATATTCTGATTTTAAAAAACCTGTTTCAGGATGTAGCATACAAAATAATAATTCCTGAGTTAAGGTTTTTACTGTTATTTGACTGTGGTAGCTCACATGTTTGTAAGCAATAGATTTGCTTTGTAAATCAAGGAAATCTATGATGCCATTAATAATGCTTGGCTGTGATGATGCACTGAGTGACACTTTATATGTAGTTAAATGCCATGAAGTTAATAAACCTAAACCTGCATAAGTGGAAGCAGGATGGAATTAGGAACTCAGTTTTGACCATGACCATGGATATGGTTGGCATGGGAATCTGGTTTGTCTTTTTTTTTCCTTTCCTTTCCTTTCCTTTCCTTTTCCTTTTCCTTTTCCTTT